GACGGGAAGCGTCGCCCAGCGGCGAGGCAGCCACGCTTCTGGGCCCGGCGCAGCGCGGCCCCTCGCTGCCTGCCCGCAGCCCTCCCGCGCCCACGCTCCGCTCCCCCCGGGGCTCCGGCGGCGCCCGCGGCCCGTCCCGGCCTGCCCGCTCCTGTCGAGGCAGAGCCAGGTCGTGGGGACATAACGCGCCGCTCGTCTCATCGTTTGAAACCCGAAGCGCACGAGCTGGGGGGGAGCGCCCCATCTTCATCCCACCCCGGGCAGATGGGAAAGACACACCCCCCCCCCCCCCCCCCCGTTTGGACTTGGCAGTACAGTCCTGACTCCGTCGACTTAGAGGAGATGCAGGATTTCACACGAACGCCTTTAATCAAATTTATCAACCACTAAGGCTGAATCGGGCCCCGACGCATCCGATCTTGTCTCTGACAGGCAAGACCCCTTGCTATTTCTTAGGCCAGCTCTTCGCCGTAGCACTTAGCCAAAAAAACACACGTCCTCCCTCCACGGCTCTTCAACACCCACTTTTCCCCCGAAGCACTGCCACACACTCCATATGTCAACTGCTTGCATCCTGGAAGGATCCCAGAAGCATTACCGCAAGGGGTTACTGGCAAGGAAGAGTGTCAAAATTAGAAAGGGCTCTTTTTTTTTTTTTTTTTTTTTCCCCTGTTTCACCCCCTGCAAGAAGTGTAGAAAGCCAAGAAACAAGTTGCTGATTCAGCTCGAAGATCAGAAGGCTCCGGGGAAGCGTGGAGAAACTCCCCCATCCCACGCCTGCTGTGCCCCACAGCCGGGCCCCCGCCCACGCCGGCTGCTGCCACCCCGCAGTTTTTTGTGGCTGCGTGGAAGGACGGCACTGCGTGGGCTGGCAGGACCCACAGCTCGCCCTCCAGCAGCCGCCCCACCCAGCCCACCGCCCGTGCGCTGCGCTCAGGAGCCCAGCGAACGTTAAGGAGCTCAAACCGTTTTGAGATTGCCTTCAGCTCCTAAGGCAGGCCCCCCCCGTCCCCCCACCCCACATCCCAAAAACGGGGCACACAGCAAAATCAGCAGGGCTCTTTGGCAGCCGGGCGAGAGATCTGTGATTAACTCAGGACAACCCGACCTTACGGATTGTGAAGCAGTTGCTACAGGCTGGGGATAAGCGTCGAGCACGACACTTCAGCGAGCTGTACAGAAGTGAACCTTTGTGAGAGCTGGGATGGGAGGACCCTCTCGAAACGGCTCCTTGGGCCCATGCCCAGAGTGAAAAACCGCTCTGGCAGCAGCTACAATTCACAGGCTCCTCCAAAGGGAAAAGAACCTGCTACAAGGAATTCATTAGCAATGAAAAATTAGTGGAATCTCTTTCTCTTACCTGCCGCCCCTGTACCTCCAGCCTTCTGCTTTTAGGATGCAAATTGTTAAGAGGACGGGCAGTCTTGCTTGAACCCAAACCAGTCCGAAGCAGTTTCCCCACTGGATTTCTGTGCTTAAGGAGAGCTGAGACGAAAGCAGGGGAGGGTGGGAGGGGAGTAGGATGCTGAGGCCAAAGGCTGATGACCAGCTGCAGAAGGTTAAGCAAAGAGCAGAAAAAAGCAATGTTTAGTTTGAAAGAGGTTTTAAAGTTCAATCTGACAAGGGAAAGTTCGACCACCTACCCCACGCCAAGTGCCAGATGCCTTCAGTTCTTGCCAACAGAAGATTAACTGCTCATAGTATGAAAAAAAAAAAAAAAAAAAAATCAAAGCTTTCAAGAGTTCAAAAAAAAGTGTGATAATCTAAGGTATTTGTAAATCCCACTTTGGTATCTTGTAGCTCAGCAAAATGTTTCCCTTTGCCCCAAGACCCGTCACCCCCCATTTCCCAAATAAACAGGCACAAGTTGGGAGAAACTGCTCCACATTCTGCAGTTCCAAATACACCCACCTCTTCACTTCCACGGCTGGAAAGCTGAGGACTAACAGCATTTCCCCATGCCTAGCTGTGTGAGGAGCAAGGCTGAGCAACACAGTTTCCAGTCTAGGATGCAGTTGCTCTACCAATTCCACGGCATTGCCTCCTGGACATCAAAACGCAGGAGCTCGCTGGCTCAGCAAGCGCTAAAGCTGCCATTACCAGCCTCCAGTAAGAGCCCAGGCCTTCACAGAAAACGCATCTGCAAAGTGGTTTGGGGAAAATAAAAGACCTTACTGTACCAAAAAGGGCTAGAATTAAACAGGACAGAGACGTGGAAATAAATGAAAGGGTGGCATGCTCTCACCCGACTTTGCTCTCGTGGGTTCCCCTCCGTAGCCCGGGGCCACTCTTAAAAATTGCTTCGGCCCAACATGACATCATTCCTGCTCTCTCATCAGTTCTAAACCCCGGGGGATTTCTTCATCAAAAGCAAGCACAAAAGCCACACGCCCCACTCCGAACGCTGGGCAGTGGCACACAGACCCCGGCTCCTCGGGAGGGCTCTGCCCGCAGCGCGGGCCAGACCTGCAGCGCCCGTCGGCCAGTGACGCGCAGCTCAGGGTATTTGCATCTGCTGCAGGAGGTAAAACCTCCCTGAGGAGAAAGGGAGGACTCACACACATCGTTCCTTGTTCCTCCAAGTGGCTGCTGATTTAATTTTCAAGGGTAACTCACACGCTTGCAGGTCCCAGGGTTTTTTTTGTTGTTTTTTTTTTTTTTTTTTTTGCGTGAGGGAAATCAATCAGAGATTCTCCACACCCAGCAGAGCAAGCAGGAGGCAGACATCCAAGCGTGCATTTCCATTCACCCAATGCTCAGAGATAGTTTAAAAGCAGTAAAAACAAAAGCCCAGTGCTCAGAGGTAGTTTAAAGAAGTAAAAAACAAAAGCAAACACCTGTTGTGTTTTGCGCATCCCACAGAGCTTAAGCTAACGTGAATGAACTCTTCCCAGCGTGACAAAGTGTGCTGGTATCACGACTGCAGGCTCGCTTCACTGTAAAAAGAGGCCAAACGCCCCAAACTGAGCATGGCGATGCTTTCTTTAATGATGGTGGCTATATAAGCAGGGAGATTAATTCCAGAACTGACCCGGTAGGGCGAAGGCATCTGTAAGCTGCCAAACCCAACCCTCCAGGGTAGCTGGGTAAATATATTTTTTGAGCGCAGCATGTAAGTGGTAATTTATCACTGGTCCAGCTCAAAGCAACAACCCAGCACTCGGGCCTGAGCAGTTACACCTAAGGAAGCATCCAAAAATGAGAAGTGTGTTAATACAAATCATTAGCCGCCTTGTTTCTAGGGGAAGGACTATTTTTCCTCCCAAAGCTGCTGTTCAGAGACCCGAAGCAGGGATCAGCTGCTCAAAACCATCCAGCACCAAAGCTGTAAGCCCGGCAGGCTGGGGCGAGAGAGATCACGCCTCAGTTTTAGTCTCTCCCACACTCAAAGGTGGGGAGCCGGAGTTAACAGTTATGGGCAAGGCAGGAGGGGACAGACAACTCCAGAGTGTCCCGGCGGGGACGAGGGAGCCCACGTCCTGTCCCACGCGCCGGAGCCGTGCGGTGCCGCACCCCGCCGCCGCCCCGGGAGGGGATCACAAGCTCTGCTCTCTGCTTTTCGGAGAAAAGAGCTCGGAGCAGCTTACAGCAGCAGAGGGGAGACTGTGTTTTCTCTCAACGTGCTTACGCTGCCCTCCGAATCGCCCCCTTTTTCGAGAAGCTGGAAAGAAACAGCCCTCAGATATACCCGGAGTGGTGAGCAGGGACAGAGATGCGCTTGGGTTTTGGTTTGTGCTCCGGGTGCTTACTGCTGAGTTTTGTGGTGATGCGCAGGGAGGAAGACACAGAGCAAGATGGGATCAAGAAATCCCATGCACTGGGCTAAGCCTCTTCCAGCCCCCTCCTCTTCCTGGCATCCACACCCAAAGGGGCAAAAAAAAAAAAATTACCAGCAGCTGCCATCCACCTGAACCCAGGTCTCCCCTCTTTTCCATATACAAAAGCCTCCAAGTTTCCCCCAAGCTCTCCTGGGGCAGAGCAGCCATCGCTCCCTTCCGAAGGGATCTGACTCTCCACAGCATTTCAGAGCTCCTGTAAAAGCCAACTGCTGCAGAAATACAGTTTTTGTGTTTTTTTTTTTTGTTTGTTTTTTCCTTTAAGTGACTGAGTACCTGAGCATCCTTAGACCCTCAGACTAGTGAGGAAAAAGGGAAAGGAAACCATCACCAACTGCGACATCCAGTTTTCTGCTGGATTGCCTGCTAAATAAAAATTCCCTTTATAGGAACTGAATGCTTCAAGTCATCCAGCGAGAAAGTGTGACTGTGTGGGAGTGTGAGGGGGCTTAACAATTAGCAGCGATGGGCTTCAGCCCAGCAAAGCACACACCTCAGACCGGACCCACAGTGCCTGGGCTCAAAAGCAGAGACAGAAGTAATAAACATTACGCATTAACTCCCAGGGCAGAAGGCTCTGCTCGCCCTGGAAGAGGAGCACTTCTTCAAGTGAAACGGCAGCTTATTCCACATCAGACTACGTTCAGCTGGTCTCAGATTTATAGCCAGCTAGTGACTTGTTAAAGCCCACAAAAATGAGGAAAAGGAGATTAAAAACCACAAAGCAGACCGGGGAGCAAACCTTACTCTCACTTTAAGGCAAGTTCCAACACAGGCACAACGTCAGAGGCACACTGCTTGCTCCTCGCTCTGAAGGGTTTGGTTTGTTCTGGTTTGTTAATACACAGACTCTCTGCGAGCAATTAACTAATTGAGCATCCTTCCTCATCCACCTCTGGTTTCGTGAGCACACGAAGAGGCTGCTTTGTTTACAGGCAGAGTCAAAAGAGAGCAGACCAGACCTCCAGAGGCACACGGCTTCTCTGCTGTTTGGCATCTCCCATGCTCCAGCCCGGCAGAGCACACACACACCCACACACACACCCCCCCCCCTTGACCCGGAGAAAGTCTTACACACTCAGTCTTACAGAGTCTTACACCTCACACAAAATTTAGAAGAATGCACATTCATCCCAGACAGAAAATGAGAGATATTTCAAGGTGTTCTCCATTAATTTATCATTTAATATAAATGCTGACAGAAAAGCAGGTAAGACCTTGTAGACACTTCCATCTATTTACAAACCAAATAGTGAATCACCACCTTTCCACTCGTTATTTTTTTTTTTTTTGTTGAATCTGCAACTCAGAGGACCCTTAGACACTATGTGGAAGCAAGATGAGGTTGAGTCATCTTTGAGAGGGAGAAAAGCAAGGTGAAGAGGGAAGAAGAAATAGCATTTCAACATATGGCTTTTTCTATATAACCACCATGCACACACAGTAGGTCTCCACTTCCTTGTTCTTTAATACAAAAGTGACAGTTGGCTCTACAGTTCTAAACAAAGAAATCAAGGAGACAAATCCTGACTTTCAGATCTCTGGATCCTCTTGCCTTTTGCCTCCTTCAATCCACTCTGTCCCACTTCAGCATAACATCTAGAAAGCTTCTCTTTCGAGTTTAGAAAGCATACTGCAGGAGTAAAGACACAGGGAGTTGGATATAGTGAACTCTTTCTTCCGCTTCTTTTGTCATCTCAGTTTTTCCAAAAGGTAGTAAACCATCTAACCTTTCAAGGAAAGAGGTATCAATGCCTTGTCTGCCTCTGGATGTCTCCCCTGTGACCAGGCCTGTACATACAAGACTTCAAAATTCCCCATAAACTGAATTCTCTGCAAGTTATGGAATTCTTCTCATACGTCCTACTTAATCTCTACTCCTATTAAAAATATTTTGGTAGTTACAAACAATAAATATTCACAATATCAACCCAGAGCCAGCCATTTCCATAAAGGCTCAAGAATTTTTTTTTGATGGGGAAGAAAAACAGGAAAGGAAGAAAACAGCAGAACGAGAAGGAAAGCAAGGAAAGAACCAGCCCAAAGAGAAAGAGAGAACTGATGACATTTCGTTCAGCATTGATTTATGAGAATAACAGACAGGGAATTTCACTTATCCAGGATCCTAAATAAATTCAAGAAATAGTTCATAACCTGACTCAACAAATCTCATGGTCTCCTTTATTACCTAGACTATCCTTTTCATTTTATTTTTTTGTTAAATATACCTCTGCAGGGCACAATCACATACAATCAATACGATTGGAAAATTACATGAGCTCTATCCCAAGCATATATGCACCAATGTTAAAAAGTTATTTAAAAAACCAAACCAAAAAATAAAATAAACTCCACCCAAAAAGGTGATAATGACTGCAGAATGTCTCGGTGAGACTTGTACGGAACTAACAAGATCAAAGAAAACTAGGCTTACAAAAAACAGGAAAAATTCATCGATAGAGAAATCCCACAACTGGAAGTAGATGATTTCAAAGAGGGGGTGGGAGCCATCATATATAGAAGATCCCACAACTCTTCCTCCCTCCTCCCATGCACAGCCTTGCCTCACCTCTTCCTCCCCATAGCAACAAATACGATGGGGAAAGAGCTCGACACTATGCTACCAGTTACAGAAAACAGGGAAAAATAAACCAAGCTACAGCACAGTTGCTAAGCTGGCTTCAAGGAAAGCTCCTCTTCGCATAGAGGCTGCTTACACAGCAAGCAGAGGCCAAAGGGGTAATGGGAACTCCTTAAAATTAGAAAAAAACTGAAAGTCATTTGATGTGCTAGATTTGCCCGTGTTAGAGCAGCTTCACTTAAGAGAGGCTGCGGGTTAAAGGTACCAATTGTGACCTGTGCAGCAGCTGTGATGTGAGCAGGGTTCCTTCCGTCTCAGGTCGCTTTATACATTTATGAACAGCTGCTACCAAGTTTTTTTTTTTTTTTTTTTTTTTAAAAAAAAAAAAACAGAAATAAAAGAGGTCAGTGCACACATCCAGTTGTGGGATCCATCCAATACACAATCTGGTTTGGATGCCAAAGACTTGTGAGTACTGTCTGTCTGCCACAGAACTATTAATAAATCTTTATAACATTACAAAGCAGCAAATAATTTCTTAAACATCAAATACTCCACAAGATTTTCTGTTTTGCTTACAGATAGTTTTTTTCCCATATACATTTCATACGTAATTCCAACATTTCTAATGCTTTTTATTCTCAGAGACACTGTACCACCCTGTTGCTTCCCAAGACTGTATTTTTCAAATTGAAGTTGATAACTGTGTTTTCCTAAAACTTTCAGATCTTAGCATCAGTTGCTTCCTGGAACATGAAAACATCCAACCTGTATATCATCCAAAGACACCCACCTTGCTGGGTGAAGCCAGGCACCTAAACTTCCCCAAATACTCAACACCAGGCAACTGGCATTAAAACCATCCACAAACTCACTGGAACTGCAGATTGCCTGGGAAAGATCAGTGAATTATTTAGGTTACTAAGCTATAGGCATCCAATGTTGATTATTACGATCGCATATTTTAAGCTTCAAATGACTGGGATGTTCCTAATGAAGACAAATCCACATTCCCACATGCTTTTTTTTTATTGGGAAACTTCAGAAAAAGCTGCACGCTTTTTGTTTACCATAGTGTTCAAAGAGTTTCCAAGGTATGATGATATTACACTTGCAATTGGGAAACAAAATTATAAAGAAAATCAAGACTAAGTTTGTTCTCCTTTCCCTGCTAATCAAGGCTCTATCTGCATCACAAGTGCCTTGAAGACTGTGACAACACTAAGCAGTTACATTCTTCCTACACAAGAATAAAGACCACGTTCACTGTATAAGGACACTGTGCTGGGATGACATTCCCCAAAATCACTTACTTATAATGTGTAACTTGAACTAACTTACTCTAGCTTCTTTCACCCCATTTCAACAGAAGATAACGCCGTTGGTAACAGCTGAGCATGGAAAAGAGAATCCCCGATGAAGTTTTTGGCATTTCAGATTGTATTTGATCTGAGAACAAATCCATTTGCGCTACATAATCTGTATGCTGGTATACTACAAGTAACAACCACCCAACTGTTAGCACCGAAGCTATACCTAAAAGGTGGCTCAGAAGAGCTGTTTCCCTTTCCTCAAATTCAGAGTTCACATTTCCTCAAGCAAGGCAGATGTTTTTCCAGTTCATGTTTAAATTACCATTTAGACAATTCAAGAACTTGTGCTTCCTTTTTTTCCATCCAGAGGAACTGATTGTGGTATAAAAAAATTAAGTTGCCGACACACTGACTTCTTTTGGTTGCTTTTAAATCAGTGCTACCAACATTAGGAGAGAAAAATAGGAAGTGTGTGTTTTGCAAAGCGAACGATGACAAAACACGAAGGTAACATCATGGCCCAATCTTGCTCTGTGTTCCTTCTCTCTATTCTAGGACTACAAAAAAAACTTCACACACAGACAAGCACAAAACTTGCACACTGCTTATACGTTTGTTTTTTCTTCCCCCATTTTAGAACAAAGAAAATGAGATTGCACTCCTGCTCTTGAACCTCCTGATTACTAGCACTGAATTTTTTGGACCATAAAAGTGGGTCTGAAATAGCTAGTCAACCAAAGATGCTGGGGTTCTTCAGGATAACTATCCTGTAAGTCTGCTTCAAGATACTCCAGATTTATAAATGGAAGTGACAATGGAAATGAGGGTTTATGCTATTCTGACTCACAGATTTCTCTCTGAACCTAAAAACCTTAATAACAGTCTGCAAGAGTTAAAGTTAGATCAAGGAAGGGAAATGCAAGCAGCCTTCTTGCATTATCGACGAACAGCCTCACTCCTAGTACTTTCTAATAAGGAATTTGCCCCACCTTACTCAATTCGTGCTGTCAAGAGACAATATCATCATACAAGTTTGCTTCTTCCACATCTAATTTAATGTAATGCTACAGTTTGACATGTCTTTTCAGTTTCAACGGGCTTAAAAGTCAGTCACATTCGCAACACAGATTCATCTTTAACTGAAGAAATTTAAAATCAGTATTCAATTAAACACTTAAAGACAAGGCTTCTTTGATCATACAAAATTTCTATGTTCCCTCTCTAAATAAGCCATTCCATCAGCTGAGAGAGTGCATAAGAGACTGAAAACATGTCAGAATACCCCAGATACATCTCAGTACACTGCAAATTGTATGACTAAATGGAATGATTTTTCCACAATTCAATGCATGGATAAGGCCTGACATTCATTAACTTTTGTAAATTGTTATTAGGATAATACAGCCAACTCACAAAACCCTACAAAGATTTGACAATCAAAATGGTTACACCAGGAAAAAAAAAAAAAGTGTAAAGCACAAGTCTTTGGCTCTCCTTTAAAGAAAAACAGCAGTTTAACCATGTTTATACAGATCCCCCGTTTGCCTACCAGTAGGGGCAATATCACATTTGTGCATCACTGAGTAATAACACCATTAGAAAAGGCAACTTCACAGAAGTTATTGGCTAAGCGAATTCATTTGAATGCTCTGTTTTGAGGCAGCAAGCTGTCACTGTTAGACAATCAGGGAGGGTGAACGGGCAAAGCCACAGAAGGAAAGGAAGGAAAGTATGGACAACAGGGAGAGAAGAAGGCTTAGAAGCAGCTAGACAGAGAAGAACTTGAGGAGAAAGGGGATAACAGTGCTGTAACAGTGCTGTAGGTTTGAAGGGTGCTCTGATCCAAATAAAAAATGTCCTACTCTGAAATAGGACAGGATACAATAGCATACAAGCGGGACAGAAGAACAAGCATAAGTTTCTCCTATTGAGAAAAGAGAACTAGGTCATAGGAAAGGAAGAGATGTTGACAGAAGAAGGAAGAAAACAGCACTACAGAATAAACAAACATAATAATTTCCTACACTGACTGAATCACTGTCATCCTAAAGCTTAACCTAACACTTGAAGCTTCCTATTCTGGGGGGGTTTGTCCGTGCTGGGGCTGCAACCCGGGTATCAATGAGGGTTCAAAGTTGCCTACTGCAGTAGAAAATCTAACCCACCTATCAAAGGGTGCAGTAGTGCCCTAACACTGTTTCTTCTTGCCCAAGCAGAAGGAACTAAACCACTTCCTAGCCCAGACCAATTTCACTGCAGTGGACAGCATTCCCGTGCAACTGGGAGAATCACTGGGCCACAGAAATTAAAGGAAGAGGATACAGAGTTACTCCAGAAATTTTCATTCCCTGTTTATTTGCTGTAGCCATTAATGCTTCCCTTATATGTAGAGCTGTCTGTCTTCCCAGTTGCACTAGCATGCTTTTCCACAAAAAATACAAATGTTAGGTGCAGCTTCCAGAAAAAGACTTAAAAGCACGCACTGCATTTTGCTGTTTGACTTGTTTAATCAACTAAGCTTCTGCAAAAAAGCAGAGAAAGGATGAGGAGGAGAAAAAAAACAAAGCTAAAAATCAATACTGTTAGTAGATATTAAACAAACTATTTAACAAGCCAAACTATAAAAGTGGGCAAACAGGGCATTCACCTGGACACCGTGATCACAGCAAGGACACTATGCACAAAGTACAGCACGGAGAGCTGGATCAAGGAGAAACAAAACAGTAATGTCTCCCTTTTAATCCACAGGTTTTGGAAGCATTTACCGTATGTAGGCCAGCAATCTGAATAGCTCTTACTGCAGAATTCCTCCTGGGAGGAAAAAAAAAAAAAAAAACAAAACCAAACCATAATCCCTAACCTGGCATGGAAACAGAGTTAATAAAAAAGTTTTTTGCCCCTCCAGATCTTCTTCCTAGTATTAAAATGAATCCGTAGATTCGAACATATAATAACCGTCTTTGAAAATTCATCTTACGTCAGGAATTACTGCAGTCAAAAAAAAGGTACATTCTGGGCTTGCCCTCCTAGATTAGAATATTGCAGTAATTTATCTCAACTAAAATGAGCTCCCTGTGTTAATAAAGTCACAGCAGGAAGAAGTAAACTAATTAAAAACAAGGAGAAGGCTGACCTGACAGCAGTGCTCTGCACTAAAGGGTGGGAGAAGAGGGCACGGTGCCTGTGCTGACTGTCGAGCAGGCTGCCAGGGGAACACGTTGATCATCGTGGTGCCCGGAGCAGAGGAGGGAGGAACAGACCTGACGGGCTCAAAACTGCATCAGCCTAGTTCTGCTCGGCTCGAAGAGGAGCGGCTGCAACGCTAGGCCTCAAGTAGGAGATACGGATGGGTGGGGGCAAAGTGTAGACGAAGCTATTCTAGTGCAAAGATGGTTCTTTGCCAAACGTTAAGAGGGGTTAGAAAGAAAGCAAGCTTCGAAACTACTCTTGGCAATTAAGAGGCCAAAGTTCAACTAAAAGCGAAATAAACCCGTGTGAAGACGTATGGAAAGTGTGGGCGTGTGCGCTGAAAAATGCCTTTATTTTCATTCAGTGCTTCTACCTCCCAGACATTTGATCACAACAGCTGCGCTCATGCGAAAAAATTCTTAAAACATACCCAATATATATACAGATATAACTATGTATATATGTATATATATATTTATATATAAATTTTTATTTAAATAAAAAAGAAAGCTCGAATCCCAAGCCAATATGTGTATCAAATCCTTGACCAGCCAGGTCTGTAGGGCATAATCAAATTCAATGTGAAATAGTATATAAACGCGGTGCCTTGACTGGGCAAATTAAATAATTGCTACTCAAAAGAGTCTTCTGTTTGGACTCTCCTACTGGTAGGCAATAGTGGGACTGTATCCCCTCCCACCCCCCATTTTGTTTTATTTAACAGTATGATGAATGCAAAGCTTAGCCCAAGGTTGCTATGACCTCAGCAGGAGTTAAGGTTAAGGAAAAAAACTAAAAACGAAGAAAATTTATTAACTCTTGCTTTACCCAACCAAAGCAATGCAGTAACTTATTACATAACCAGTGCTTTCCGATTTAGTAGTCTAACCTAGAAAGAAAAAACGCGAACAGGCCAAGAAGGTGCAGAGGGAGCAGCACTTTAAAATCATTCTCCACAGAGTTCTTTGCGTACAGGGTCTCACCCCAGTGCATGTCAAGAGAGTCAAAAAATGGCAGCAAGAACAAAATCTCTTTAATTTCTTTAACTTTTAAAGAAAACATAGAAAGGCTTACGATTTCTCCAACTTATGCTTACAAAGCATCTACTCGGAGAAACAGCACACTAGATCTACCAGGCAAAATTTGCTTTTCAGTACTTCTGACAGGATCCGTGCCGCACCATAAGTGGTCGTTTTGACAGAACTATTCCCCTATCAAAAAGGATTCACTGCAGCAGTGGCAAACGGTTGCAGATTGATTCTCAGGTGTCAAATCCTAATCCACACAGACCTTAACGCCAATTTTAAAAGAGAAATAAAAATTCCCCTCTGTCTTAAAGATTGCCATCACTGATGCACACAAATCAAAGTTGTTCATCTCAAGGCCCTCACAACATCATTACAATTAAATAACTGATATATCACGGAAAAGAAGAAAAAAACCCCTCATGTTATAGAGGAAATTACGTTTTTAATAATAATAATACTAAAATAGCAGAGAAGAAACAACGAAAGACAAGAGTCACTGAGGAGGAGGAATACATGAAAGACCTATTTCAAAAGGCAGAGGTCAGTAAGTCCCTCTGCGTCAACTTAATTGTATGGACTTTGGGTAAGCTTGTTTTAAAGGCATAGTGAGAAGGGGGGGGTGGGAAACAAACCAGCAAAGACTGGATGAACTAACATGGTTCACCAGGTCAGTGGCAGTTAGCATCCAGCAAACAACTGCACAACCTTATGCTCTCTCTACTTCCTATTTCTAGAGATTCTGCTTTGGTCACGGCTGCACAACCGTCACTGGTTAGTTAAGCCTCTCTACCACAAGCCCCAGCTAACCAGCTCCAGAAATACCCGTGCTGTAGTAGGGCAGCCCGCATTCAGAAAATAAAAGGCCAGCAACCTTCAAATATAATAGCATGTGTTGGATCCCTTACTCCATTACCCTCTTCAACGACACATGCTCTGCTGGGACATACAGTAAAGGACCACACCCGATGCATTGCAAAGATTCTGTCACGTGAAGTTTAAACTTAAATAATTTAAGCAAGAAGTCTCACACAAGCTAGGGTTCCTTTCCTAGCCATGATGGGAGGAATTGTTTTAAGAACAAAGCTTGCTGCACATCTTTTGACACTGCAATTCACAGTTACTCTCCAACCCTCATCCCTTGTTTACCCTTAAACCATACAAGGAAGTGGCCAGGTTGTTTTAATTGTTGAGAAATTAAGGTGGTAAGGAATTATGCACTGGGTATGTAATAATACCAAAATAAAAGAAAAAACCTACTTCATTAAGATCATACAATTAATCAAACAGAGTATATATATAATATCTTTTTTTTTTTTAAGCCCTGGGATCCAAGGCGTCCGAAGTTACTAAAATAAAGTTCATTCACAGAACAAAAACAAATTTAATTTGAATTGCTTGCAGATACTGCTAATTTTCATTTTTTTTAATTAAAAAATGCGTTAATGTGAACTATGTGCAGGATTTGTTTCTAGTAGTTGTGTTTGTGCACATTGCCTCTGGACCTGCTGCTCTGCTACTGCTGTTGCTCCTGGGTTTCTCCAATCACCCCTGGAAAAAAAAACATGATGGAAGCTACCGACACCCCAGCAAAAGAAACTCTGGGGCGTGCTGGCCTCACTTCACGGAGCAGACGTGGGTGTAACTCCCGCTCTCTGGGAGTCGTGGTTGTCTCCTCCTCCCTCTGGGTCCTCTGACAGGCTGAGAGAAGCCGTCTTGTTTGACAGGAGGCCAATGTTCTCTTGTGTCAAGGCTGATCCGTTTGGAACATCACTGCTGGAAGAAAGTTGAGGAGAAGGGGGGAGGGGGTGAAGAGAAGTAAGTACAGAAATTCTTCATTTACGTAAAAGGACTTCACTATTTGTTGCTGCAGCATCTCAAAGAATGGTTGCAAATGTATGTAAACATGCAAAGACTTGCCTTCTATAACAAAGAGGTTGTCTGGCATACTGCAATTACTTACCAGAAAAGGAAGAACTAAGACAAGGCTAATTGAAAAAAGACAAAGCTGCACATTTTTAGGGTTCTAGGTCAGTTACGTTTTGCAAGTATTTCAGTATATGCCAAAAGATGTATAGTAGCAATCTGTACAATGCACACATTCCAGAATATTTATCTGGGTCATTGATCTTAATTATTAAAAAAAAAAAAAGGAAATAGTTGTTTCAATTTTATTACTTCCAGAGTTTTATATGGAAAATCAGCTTCTGTTCTGGAGGCCTCAATCTAATGGTGCAGCACAGAACTCAAGAACTGATTATAAGAAAATACAGACTTCATAAGCAATTGAGAGGGATACATTTTCTGAATAAATACACTTCCTGAATAAATTTCCAGATTCCAAACTGCTCACATCAAGTTATGTAAATTTAATGAAACATCTGGGCTTTTATATTCAAAGTATTAGTCCGAATACATGCAGATGCTTGCAGCCATCGGAAAATGCTTGCTGTGTAGATTTCCAGCATTCCCAGCCAACACTTTATTTCAACTGACTATCAAATACGAATTGAAATCAATCCCAGCATCTATACAGATAAAGACTACTGCCTACAAATAAAAGAGAACTTTTTTCAAAGTTACATACCTTCCTAGACAACATCCACATCACAAACACCTTAGCAGGATGGAGTAACTTTCCTCTCACATTTGGAACATTTATTTTCTTTGAAACTTAAAATAGCAGATAAAGATTTCTTTTACGGTGGTTGTTTATCTCCTGCTCTGCCTACTAATCGTCCAATATTGACTAGCTGAACTTTTGGTCTTAAATGTTTCAGTTCTGTTGTGTTAACTGAAATACGGTCTTCGTTCCACTCACCAACTCATCAGCTGAAATGGCCCTTCATTAATGCTTGCACTATAAAAACTTATTTGTATAATCTTTTCCTAGTAGATGCTTCCATAGAGACAATGTGAGGCAAGGGGTATTCTTCATATACCAGAAAGTGAATCTGATTAAGTCGTTGTCCTGTTACACAAATAAAGGGGGAAGACCCATGTTACCTGAATGTCAGTGCGAGGTCCTCAGCTGGAACCTTGCTTTGCGGTTCTAATTGTCCATTTTCTGTCTGTTTAGTGGTGCCCAGTTTGTTTTTTATATCCAGCGAAGACTGGCTCTCCTTTAAAAAAAGGACAGAAGAAAAACTCTTCAACATTGTGTTAAAAGAAACTGAGACTTCATCCGTTGGGACCGATGAGGAAGGCCTGTAAACCGGAGTCTTACAGTGTAAATCACAAAAGCCATGAGACAAGAAAACACTCAGTAAGATACGCTCATCCTCTCAGGACACAGTATTTCCTGGAAGGAAGGGATGATTCTCATAACGACAAGCAAAGACCATAGACTGTAACAGCACACAGACCTCTGAACGCTAGCCTGTACCTGCAGATGTTTTCTGTGTTAAAGCACTTTACAGAACTCATGGCACAGTGACCTTGGAGACAATTCATAGTTTTCACCAAATTCAGCGCCACACTTATTTTCAAATGGCGACAAAGTAACAGCAGAGTATTTTCAAGTGGCTAAAATTAAAAGCCTTCATGAAGAACCACCAAAAAATCTTCTCAGGTGGTTTAGAAGAACAAAGAGGTGAAGAGGGAGAGGGATGACTCCAGCTGTGGTCATCCAGCAGAGAGCCTTTTTGCCAGGGTGAAAGGGCTGCAGCCAGCTACACAGCTCTCCACCCCACCTCTCTGCCTCCCACCCCCAGGGCACTCACCATGCTCAGCTCCCGGGTTCTCTTCCCAATTTCCCTTTCCACCTGGTGTAGCTCCAAGCTCAGCTGTTCACTTGAGATCATCCCAGGCCACTTGGGAGGTGGGGGTGGGGGCTGTGGTTGGCCTGCCAGGGTAGTCGCCTCCCTCTGCAACAGCAGCCTGTTACTAACAGCCTAAATGCATAAAGCCAAGCACATACACAACTGAGCACACAACACACCAAGCACAGAAAGAGCCCTAGGCCATAACTCTCAGAGTATTGCTGATTTGCAAAACGGAGGCCTTTTCGCTCCATGTTTAACAAGGTCCCAATTGAAATCACCTCCAATGCAAGTTTAAACATTTTTTTTTTTTTTAACATGTGGACAAGTCTTCTCACTTTTAAACAAGCAGTGCTAAAGACCTTTTACTGTAATAAATTTGCATGGGTTTTCTCCATATACCACTCCCTTCTCAAAACTAAGGCTAAGCACATGAATAAAACCACTACTCTTTGCGAGCTATTTGTTGAACAAAAGATAACAGCAGATAAGCAGATTTGCTGCTTTATTTTACAGTAGTAGAATTTATCCAATTCTACAGTAGAGCCAGAATTATTACAAAAGCATATAGAATATCTTGAGAGATGTGGTTGTCAACCTGTAGCTCTCTACTGATCCAGATGAGAACACACAGGAACAGAGAGGGGCAAGTGACTACTGTCATTCATGAGCTGCAAGTTATTAGCAGCCAAGTAAAAGCAGTAGCCATGCCAGCCACTCCAAAAATCTCCTAATACTTCGGAATCAGTTCTGTAAGCAGTGTGCTCTGCATTTACACACACTATCTACTACTCTACACAACTAGAACATCTGGCTGGTCTTCAAGTAGAAATGCTCGTTCATTTGAGAAGGAGAAGAATCTAGTTCTTCATGCTCTGATTGAAGTAAGTGATTGCTACAACCTTATAACAGTAAATCAATAAAGCCTCCTGGATTTCAAGTATCTGCTTGCAGCTTTGAACACAAGAAACAAATCGAAAGCTGTTATTACTCAAAATAAGCGATCAGTTCTGACAAATTCAAGTTATGGTAAAATCAAGGCTCAACACTCAACTATGTAGGATATAACACTGACACAATCACAACAGTAACGAGCAGGAGAGTCAGGCCACTTCCAGGTTTTGCAACCTTCCAATACTCTTCCATTATGGCAAAGGCAGACATGCAAGATTTAAAACATTTCTGCCTCATGTTCCCAAACAAGAGCACAAGAACACAAGTTACATTTCAATTAACTAAGAAATGCATACTAGTAACTGCTGCTGTGACTCAGAAATTGTGAGCTCTCTGAACTAATCTGCAATGACTCTCCTCTATAACATGCGTTCTTAGGTAACCACAGTTTCAGCAGAAGCTGCTATCCACTACTTCCAGCAATTCCTGCTGGGAAAACGTTAATATGAATAATTGCTGAGGTACCTAGAATAGTTTTCTGGTAAATATTTACTGATTTTTTTTCCTAAGAGGGGAAAAAAAAAAAAAAATGTAACTAAAGCTTTGCTAAACCTATTTTTTCATTATGCTTTGACATTTCTCCTTCTGCGTCTCACGAAACACAAGCAAAGATTTCAGCTCATTAATTCTTTTACAAATGCAGATTCCTTCTTTCCTCATGCTGCAAGTGAATATATTTCTTCTAAGCAAGGAGACAAAGTATGAAGCTTTAATTTTTCAAGCTAAATATCTTTAATATTTATTTTATTGACTCTTGTGGCTTGTGCTATTTAGGAAGAAACAGGTACAACACAAAGCCAAACATGAAACAGATGAAGGTCATAGCTTTCTGTACATAACATCAGACATTTTCAATGGCAGTAAAGCCAAGAGGAACAGGTATCTACACCACAAGTTTGCCTCTGAGTAGACAGATGAACAGAGAGGGGGGAGTATGTGAGAGAGAATGAAAGCAAGTATGAGCGAGCACAGAGTGCAGATTCAAGTACGGTGTTGGTTTGCATGTGAAGTGCAGGGAGGTTTGTGCTGCAAAGCAGAGAGGTTTACACTTGTACCACAGTCCTGATGCCTGGCATCACAGATTTAAATATTGTTAATGAATATCATTACAGTCAAGAGAAAAATCAACACATGAAACACAGCTTTACTAGCTTTGTGTCTCCCTCCATACCGCCCCTCACCACTCTTCCAAATGTTGGTACCAACCTCTAGTCCTCGCATTTGTGTCTGCTGGCTAATCTGATGGTCTACTTGCTGCAGCTCCATGCGCAGCTGCTGCTCTCGTTCAGCTGAGGGCAACTGTTTCCCATGACCAGCCACATCTGACATGGACAGTCTCTCCCTTTGGGATCAGAAAAGCAGAAATAAGGAATTTCCAAAAAAAGCTTTACTCTGCTGGCACAGGAAAAAAAAAAAATCAAGAAAATTTAGATAAAGTCAAAGAAAATACAAAGTAATCCTACCTGTCATTGAAACGTCCCTGAGAAGGTATATTTTGATGAGGAGAATATGGAGAGCCTCCCCAGCCACCGTGAGTTCCATAAGGATTGTAGTCTGGTAGTGAACACAAAGGAAACCACGTCGCATTACTACAAAACTACCCTTTAAGTAGTTCAGCCAACACACACAACTGGACAGACACTAGTGAATAACCAGAAAGGTCCAGCCCTCTAAGAGGGAAGAAGTCTAATGTTTCTTCTGCTGAAATTAAGACAGAAATACTACATGTGACTAGTCTCATGTGCGTAACGCATAACTCTTCCTGCACGTCCAGCAAGATTTATGACAGCCTTCCAGAGATTGTAAAGGATTTCACTCAGGGAGATGAGGACATAAAGCCAAACATACAACCACTATGAGATCAATTGTTTTTACTACTTAAGTCCCTAAAAGATTTGCGAGTTGATCAATAATGCTGAAATACATAGTTAACAGCTAGTTTGAGGATGAAGCTTCCAGGGAAGCCAGAGTTCTACCTGCGATAAAATCTAAAAAGTTACTGTTTGAATTAAGCAAATAAGGTCTTGGTTTGTTTCTAGCAGTTAACGCCTGAAAAAATCTGGAAGTTTGTGGGAATATAATTAAGTCTTTTCCGTAAGATTATTCAGTGCACCTCAAGATAGATATCATCTGTTGGAGTAAGATATACAGCCACACTATACGTGTGATTAGAAAATAGAGGCGTAGAAAATGAACTGTTCCTACCTTATTCGCTTTGCCTAACAGTACAGAAAACAATGGCTGGCTGCATTAAGCTTGCAGCAGCAAGTACTCACATAAAGTAGGAGTGCAGTACAGTACTTCAGTTATGATGGTTTTGCATTAGGTATTTGAGAAAGCAGTATGTTTCTGGATTCTATTAGACCAGATTTAAAAGCAGCTTCATCTCAGAGATTGCCAGAACAAAATAACTTTTTCCAAACAGCAAGAACAAGCCACCAACACATACATCATGTGTGCACAAACCTGTCCAACAGCACACAAAATAGCAGCAGCCTTTTTCCTCAGGCTTCTCAGTGTAGCACTACCTAGAGTTATTTTCAGTGGCATAACATACATCTCATCTATATTTCTAAGACAAAAACCAAGCTTACAGGGGCTGTCTTCAACTTGTACTACACTGTAGCACTAAAGAAAACAGCAACATCCAGCAAAATCCAGGAGCACACATCCTACCTGAAATGACTGATTTGGTGGTAGCTCCCTGAACCGCCATGGCCTGCATGGGACCAGAATTCTGGTACATCGCTTTGGAAGTACGAGAGATAGCCCCAAATCTCGACACAGTTGGTCGGTCTCCAAATGGAATGAGGTCATCATCACCAGTTTCTGCTGCTCTCCGCTTGCATGTCTAATCGCTGGTCACGCATGGCCTTACTATCTACGTTCTAGACAAGATATGGAAAAGGCAGTCAAAAACTTATTCAGAAATGAACTGAACCACATACAATACTGGTACCAGCCTGTTGTAAAAGGTAAGTCTCTTTTGTAGTCTCTATTCCATCTCATCCTACAACTAGTCTTCCTATTCTTCAGTTTACAACTCCCCTGTCAGAGCTGATGTCTCTTTAATGGTCTAACTTAAGATGACCATGACTACAACCTCTCTGAAGCAGTTGCATGATTAATTGCTACAAATCCAGAAGGGAACAGCAGAATAAAGAAATTAAGACAGAAAAAGCATAATGGAACAGAAGGGGAGAAAGACTCCAGAACGAAGTCAGAGAGAAGATCAGTGGGCATCTCTGAACAACACAAACTCCTTTCAAAGGCCAAAAGAAATTTCTCCGAGGCCCAGTGTTAAGAATCATATCATCTAGTAGCCTGCAGATGACTCAAATGGGAATTATTCTGTATAGTGCTTACCTGGACATGTCTAGCACATCTTTTCAGGCACATTTTTCATTATGCAGTAGTACTGCTTGGAATATCCCAGTTTCTAACTCCGTTTCAGACTCAAACACCTTAATGGGTCAGCAAATGAACAGATAAAATGTTCTCTCTCTACTCAGAGAGCTTTGCCAAGCAGCCACAAAGGAAAAGATGTGCACAGAAAACAAGCTTGATTTAGCAGGGTAAGTCAATTTGACTTAACTTATTTAGAAGAAGAAACAGCAGATCGCCATAAAAGATTTTTAACAAAGCTTTTCCTGGGATAAAGTTAGGTCACCTATGTGAAGTTAAGTCACCTGGAATAACTTAAAAACACAAGGAAATAGGGTGTTTCCATGAATAAAAATATTTTTTTAAAAAGCTTCCTCAACACAAAAGAAACAAAAAAAATACACTACCCCCAAATAATCACCCCATCCAGATAAACACAAAACAGTAACAGAAACACACTCAATTAAAAAAAAATTAGGAAAAGTGCTTAGTTAAATGGTAAAGCTGTCTGTTGGCTGGCAGAAAGCGTAACAGAACAAGAATTGCCAAAATTGAGTTAAGACTCTGCTGAAGAAATAACACTGTAGCACGGTGCTGTATGCAGCAAAAAGAACAAAGTAAGTGGGGCTACTATACAAAGAGGTGCCTGTCTAAGGGCTAAAAACTTCAGTTTGGTTCAAAACTAAAAAAAAAAAAAAAACCACCAAACAAAAAAACCCCACCAACCACCACCACAAAAAAAAAAAAAAAAAAAGGAAAATTAAAATTAAAATTAAAGAAGTATGGTCCAAAATTAAAAAGAAAACTCAGCAATCTTTCAGTGAGGATAAGTATTGCGAGAAACAGACAAGATAACATAGCTAAGTCAGGAATAAAGGGGTGAAAATAGCAGTCACAACTGTGTTAGAAGCTAAACTCGATAAATGTAACATGTCGAAATTGGAAGAGGCATTAGACAGCATCTACTTTGGAATTCTGGAAAAAAAAAAAAAAAAGACAATTTAATCTTGAGTCCATAGGATGATAGTACCACTTTTAACTTACTTCCATTTACTGAGTGGGATAATAAAATCATGAAACTGCAATGCCATCTGCATAAAATCCAGCATTATGCACTCTCAGATGATACCATTGCTATCCTTGAAAAAAGGAATCTCTTAGGAACAATAAAAAAAAGGAAGAATTAATTCACTTGCCACTTTCAGTGAAGGTCTCCTGAGAATTTTTTCTTGTGAGGAGACAAAAACTGAAAAGCAGAGATCCTCTTTGCTTATATGAAAACTAGCTCTGGGGCAGAAGAATGCTTTGTTTAGCAATGAAGAAAGGAGGCTGCTTCTCTAGAACCCTATTACTTAATCGTGTTCTAGTTTCTTTGCACAGTTTTCTAGCAGCAGGAATGAAAGACAAGAGCTGTTTGTTGGTTCCTGAATGCCGCCACTTGGACAGCAACAAGCCAATTCTGAGTAATCTCAGTACTTCCTCAGGTCAAATGTGACAATGTTACGACTCAAGGCAAACACATTCTGTGGGAAAGACAGCAAAAGGACATGTAAAAAACCCAAGCTGCAGATGAAATGTCTCTTCTTGCTCTTTTTTCTGGGAGAAAGTACGCCTTTTTGCTCCCATTTCACAGTGGCTTCGAGGTCTTGCAGTAAAGCAATTCAACAAACAGAAACCAGACACATTCAATTCCAATGAGACAGAGGGGAAACAGGGAAGTCTGTCTGTGGGCAAACAGGAGAAGCTGGACAGAAAGACCCTACAATTTTGTTAAGTGGTTGCAACAAGTGAGCACCTGCCAACAGAAGAATAAATTCTGGATAAAAATTTATTCCCCCTCCTCTTAATGGCCAAAGAAAGGTCACCATGACAGTGACGGTATATAAACAAAAGATGATAGAACATTTTTGCAGGTGGGAGATGAAGGAATGAAACCAGATGCCCCTCTGCAAAACAGTCCCTCAGACTAAACAGTCCTTTTTCTTGAAGACCTGGATGCCCTTCTACCTGCATGGGCTACCAGCCTACTCCTTGCTGTTCAGTGACACTTAAATGTTAGGAAGAAACATAAGAGTGGTGGTATTTCAGAATCCTATTTCTTTTCTTCTCCATTCATGACTCCCAATAGTTACACCCTCACAGCCCCTTCTTTTTGCAACACTGACCTAGCAAAAAAGCAGCAGCACAAAATAAAATTGCAGCCAGACACCCACGGCTTCAGTGAAGGACTGCATAAGAACAGCACAGAGTTAGAAACTGCCCTCAGGAAGAATCAGCCTAGTAATTATGTTATGACTATGCTATTTTCAAAAGCTTCATGCAAGTTTGGGGTATTCCCGTGGTCACAAATCAAAGAGTTGTTCAAGTGAAAACTAGTAACGTTTAAAGGTGATTGTTACTGCTGTTAACAAACAATAGCACAAAGTTACACCATCTCCCCCTGACAAAGAAATACAGGAAGCAACAGATGGACATGTTTAATTAACAAGCTGCCAGTACAGAGTCATTTTTGGATTTCAAGTGTAAAGAATCATAGCAAAATATCTCTTGCTATCCATGGCTTTGGAGCAGAGTGGTTTGCCTGCATCTATATCCACAATTTTAGAACAGCTACACAGATGTAAGACTGTTCACAATTAAGAAAACAAAGCACTCTGTGCACTTGCAAATGCATTCTTTGACTGCAATGCACTTTTGAGCTTAAATACAAGCACTACGATCATCCTGGAAAACAAACGAAAGCATCTGTCCCAACCCACAGAAGTATCAACTTTTCTGCTGTGTTCCCCTAACCCATACATACCGCCATCTCCACGCTCCTTGCTGCCACAACATCTTTGGGTTTTGCATCTTTGGTTCCAATGTAGGAGCCGATGGTGTCACAGGACCAGGGAGAGTACTGGCTGTAGTCATTTCCTTTGTATTTCCCAGCTACCTTCAGGTCTTCATCCAAATACTGTACAAAAACAAAAATCTGGTTCTGTAAGTGAAGGGAAGAAGTAGCTTCACAGTCACCACTACTCAGTTCAACAGCAGTGAACTTGAAGAAAAACACCAGCAGGATTATTTTTTTATCAGATACATCACCATTTGGAATTGGGCCATGGCAAGCATGAAATGTGTGAAATTCTGATCAGCTGGCTACACTCCCAGTGCTGACTTTCACTTGGCCAGTATGAAAGTGATATTTATTTTGACCTTGGTTAAAAAAAAAATAAACCTTTATCAAACTGTTACTTAATTCTAAACATATCAGGAGCAAATGAAGCAAAGTCTAATAACCATGAAGCTGATTGCCTCAATTAATAATGGCTCAAAACCAACTCTCTAGGTTGCACCAGAAGCAGATAGCTTAGGATCAGTGGTAGATCAGAGAATTAACAGCCAGTTGAGAGACTGTAGACTGCACTATACGGGCTTCCCACTTGGAACATAAAATCTATCCCCCGAACACTTGCCAACACTGTACTCTTCCTATTTTCTTGCTGTCTTCACCTATCGTGACACACAAACTCCATAGTATTTCTAAACATGCTAGTAAGTCATGTTTTTTGTCAAAATATGCTTACCTCCTCTGAATGAAACGGATGAGGCAAGGTTGGTGATGGTGCAAAAGGAGGTGGAGAAATCACCTTCCTTTCCTCTAGCTGGGCCATGATCTCTTTTCTTCGCCGGTGAAGTTCGTCTAGGCTAGGATGAGGCTGAAATGAAGACAGAAATATGTTATGAAATATGGCAAGCACATATTGCAAGCAGAGAAAAATAAGGGGAATAGACAGTATCATTATAATAATAGACTTTAACAAAGTGATTATTACTTACCTGTCAACTTTCATGTTTAATATAGGACATGCACATTCCTACACTGGCCAGAGTGTTAGTTCAAGACACTCTAAAGGCAAGGAATGTTATTTGCCTAAAACTGATTAGATTCTCACCTAACCCAGTGTTTTTAACTTTAAAACTACTAATCTTTTAACTCACAGGTAGGTAGCTCAACACAGAAAAGTTTCCACTGGAACACATCCTAGCATGACAAGTCCCCATTTCAGTCACATGGGGGAAAAGTGCTAGAACCCTACAGATGATAACTAGTCACAGTTAGTTTGCATTTATTATTAATTTTGCAATAGAGCTAAACATCCAATAAACAGTGTTAAATTCAAAACAGAAAAATCTGTAAACTACATTAAAAATGCTTCCTCGACTCTGCAATATGATTCAGAGCCTTTAATCTCAGTGACAGCTACGTAAATCCTACTATTCTACAGGACTCAGTTCCAGCTGGTGATTTACCAAAATAAGTTTGTACACTTTTTACTAGGAAGACCCTCTAGTTTGCAATCTTAGAGAGAAAAAAATTTGGAAGGGCAGAATTTTGAGCTCCTTTAAATATGTTTGCATATTTATTTATTTAGGCGCAGAGATGGGCGATCACAGAATGCACACACAACCATTTGCACACACTGTATTTAATCTGTGCTAGAAGGAGAATGGCCCTCTCCAGCCTAATCTTTGTTGGAGAAGCCAGGGCTGTATGAGACTTTTAAACTTAACTACAACGCTTTTCTGCTTCCAGCACTAAGTAGCAGCCCACTCCTTTACATATTAACATCATTACCATTGTAGGGTTGACCGGTAACTAAACTGCCTTCCTGTTTTTGATCAGCTTTGTCAACAGTACCCCTTCATAAAGTTCAAACTTCTAATTCCTCACAGAAACCATCACCTTACAGCAAAAATATTCAACTTAAGTAGTTCGTACTTTTCTCTCTCCAACAACTACAAAAACGCAATATAAACAACCTACCCTATGGCATGAAGGTCTGATCTGACTGATATGGGGAGCCACTGGGCAATAACCCTCTGTTTGCTGGTATCTGTCTCTGGATTCGGGTACGTAGGAAGGTACAGCTGCTTGTGGGATCTCGATGGGTACAGGGCTCCCTCGGACAATCTCCTCTCGCTGGTATGGCTGGACAGGGGGATATACGCGACGGCTGTCGTAGTGCGGTGGGTAGATGGGCTGTCCCATGGGGGGATACTGCTGTGGCTGTGTGTACTGTGGGCTCACCACACGATCCTGAAGGTAGGGTGGGTAATGGTCTAAATAAGGTGGACCGGGCTCGGGAGCTGATGGAGGAGGTCGGACAAAGCGAGACATGGACTGAGTGGGGTAGTAAACTCCTGGAATAAGGCAAGAGGAAAAAACAAGCGAGATACAGAAAGCGATCATCACAACTGTCCAGAAAAATTGTTTCAAATACTCCAGTCTGCAAGTTTCATGAAGAAAATGTATAAATTATTTCACATTCGTTGTTTGTCCATACTGTCTAACTGGTATTTCTACTCAAAAATTAACCACAGAAAACCTTGAAAAGGCAAAAATTGATCCAAAGCTCAAGAGACACAGTTTAATTATCTAAATAAGAAACCAGCAAGGTATAAAGGTTACAGTAGCTGGAGAAGAAGCAGTGAGACTGAGCTCACCACAGGTGCCACAGCAGTTCTGCTAGCATACCAAACAGAAATAATTCACTAGAGTGTCTCTGCGGATTGGCATGAATGCGTTTCGTTAGTGTTGTGGTTTGACCCCAGCCAGCAATTAAGCACCACGCAGCCGCTCGCATACTCCTTCCCCTTCCCAGTGGGATGGGTAACAGATTCGAAAAAAAAAATTTGTGGGTTAAGATAAGAACAGTTTAATAACTAAAATATAGTAATAACTACAACAACAATAAAATAATAAAAACAATGAAAAGGAATATACCAAAGAGAGCAAGCAATAATACCCAAGGAAAGACAAGTGATGCACAACACAATCGCTCAGCACCACTGTCCGATGCCCGAGCAGCCATCGGCCCCTCCCGGCCACCTCCCCCCAGTTTCTATACTGAGCAGGATGTCCTATGGTATGGAACAGCCCCTTGGCTAGCTCGGGTCAGCTCTGCTAGCCACGCTCCCTCCCAGCTTCTTCTGCACCCCCTCGCCGGCAGAGCACGGGAAACTGAAAAATCCTTGACTTAGGGTAAGCACTGCTCAGCAGCAACTAAAACATCAGTGTGTTATCAACATTATTCTCACACTGAATCCAAAACACAGCACTGTGCCAACTACTTGGATAAAAATTAAATCTATTCCAGCTGAAATGAGGACAGCTAGACAAGACCTAAAAAATAAACTGAAGATTAGCCTGTACATCCTTATCAATGCAACTAAAATGCAATTTGTCCCAACATATCAGAGCCACTACCTGTGTAAAGAAACTTGGATTAATTAGAATTTAAAGGTATCTAAAGATTTGTTCTACATCTTGAATAGTAGGAAGAAATTTCATTACTGTGATTCACCAGAGACTTCTGAGATCTCTCCTAGTTAAGTGCACGTTTCAGTAATCTCTCGTATCTCTGCATAATTTAAAAATGTGCATGAATTATGCACAACATAAACAATGTGTGCATCAAATTTTGTGGAGAACTCAGATCTTCATTTGCACACAGTAATCAAATGTAACCTTTTTTTTTTCCTTCAAAATGCTCCGTGACTTCCTCAAAAATGGTGTGTCCCCCACCTTTCCTTTCTAGGGCTTTTTCTTCTTTCAGTCTTTCATTCCTTATTTTTCTTTCATATTAATGTCACTTTATGTCATTTCTCTCACCAATCATATGTTGCATAACAATCATTCCCTGTCTTTATACACAGCCATATCTTTTCTTTTTAACTTCCTTCAGTATTATGTTTCTCCACTTGGTCTCTTTATACTTAGAACTTTTCCTTTCATCTCCTTTCTTATGTTTTCTTTTTTTTTGTGCCCAGCCCTTCTCCAATTTCACTTGTCTCTAACCATCACATGCATGTGCAGACATTTCTGAAACACTCATACACGTTTCATTAAAGACGTAACTGATTTCATCCCTCAAGCATAAAGCCCTTTGCCGATTAAACTTTATTTCTGTCTTCCCTGAGTCAAATCGAATTAAGGCTTACCAGATCCTTGATCTAGCCTAGTTGGGAAGAACTGAAAGATTTGCTGCACTGGATGGATACAAACTTCAGTGCAAGTGAAAAACAGAGGTCCTCAATTAAAGCATAAAAAGCCTGCCAGCTTCCATTTTATTCTGTCAGCACCACATTAGTGCCTACAGTCCATGTGATATGCAAGAGAACTTAAGAGCTTAAGTAAACACCAGAGCAGGAAGAAAATCACTGTGAAAATGAAAGATATAGAGCTTGGTCTCAAACTTACCTTGTTGGTAGGGTGCTGGCTCAAATGGTGGGGCCGCTCCTCTAGGATCCTGATAAAACATATCTGCTTGCTGAGTATTATACAACTGAGACCCTCGTGGTACCATTTGCAACTGCTTGGTGACAGATACTGAAGGCAGATCTGTCGGTGCCCGAGTGGGCACAGGATGAGGGTTCACTGGTAAGGCAGAAATAGAGCTTTTGGGGACAGATTCCAGCCTAAAAAGTAGAAAGATGTGACTGCTCATTAAAGCCTGACATAGCACACTGTACTTGCCAACGCAGTTCTTTGTCTATATTCTGCCTTCTGAAGACATATATCACCATCTCCAATTAAAATACAAGCAAACTGGGAAGTAAAGCAGTTTAGAGTTTTAGCTTTAGTTTTCTACTCTATTATTTAATCACTTAAAAAAAACCAAAAAAATAAAACAAACCACAAAAACAACCCCCAAACCCCTGTTCTGTTTGTTTCCTTCCCAGAGAATGAGTTTACTTTGTTTTTACTGCATATTTACACACCACACTTTGAAAAACAGTTAGAAAGACCCGTACAAGTCAGGAGGGGATCCAGGGGCACTGCTACTCAGATGGTCCATCTTCCCTGGCTTCAGAGCAGTTTCGTAACCGGAGTCAGTCCCTCGAGAAATAAGTTGCGTCACTGTGCTGCCTGTTGACACAATTCCATTTGGCAGAGCAGAAGTTTTCCTATTGGGCAAGTCCACTCCCCCTTCCTCCGAGAGGATAGCTCCTGAAGGCAGGCCCACCTCATTTAGCTGGCCCAGGGAGGCACTCAGGGGTCTTCTGGGAACCAGACGCTTGTTCATTTTGCGGAATCTTCATAAAAAGAAACCACACATCAAAAATTGAAACAAAACAAAACAAAAAACCAAAAGCAGTTGCACTTTCAGGATTTTTCAAACAGATGCTACCAAAAGCTTCAAGTCAGAACTCAAGTTCTCCGGGGGCTTGTGAGAAATCTATTACAAATATCTGTTAGACTGGAACTTCACTGCTCTTTGAACTGTTAATAGCAGTTGCAATGAGAAGAATAAGGATGAATTTTAATGACAAGTACACCAAGAATTCACAGCTGAACTTCCCATAGCACGTTTAAAATCTCATTTCCTGTACATATATGCATTTCAACTGTACAGAAGAAAACTATAACCAAACATCACATAAAATACTACCTATAGTAACAAAGGCTTCAGAACAAGAATCACAGACTATTCAAGTATATTTTATTCAGACAAGAAACTAATAGCAGAAAATTAAAGCAACAAAAGATTAACGGATTCTCTTTTGCACCACTTGCCCAACAGTAAGCCAAGTCAAGCCTTTATTGCCATGTGATATCTTGTAAAGCAGTTTGTTAAGACTTATGTTACTATACCAGTATGCAGCAGTGATTGCAGAAATAAAAACCTCTATGAACACACAATAAAAACCTCTATGAACATAGTGTAATTCCAAAAATCTAACTGCTTCTGATGTGCCTGAACAAACATGAGCCTTTTAACTAATGTTCCACAAAAATCAGCAGACTGATAGTACTAGACCAATGAAGAGAGCAAATTCCAGAGTTGAAGGTCCTCCACTAAACATCCTGCCATTATCTTAAATACCAGAATACAAGTGGGAGGAGATATTTGTAGGCCTGAGTGCTCCTGCTGTTTACACTGCAGAGTAAGAGGCCGTTTCCTATGCAAGAAGGTTTTGACAGGGTTGAAGCCAACAATTTTGCATCCTATCTAACAAGTGAAGTGAAATGGTAACACAACTAGGAAGGTACACACATTATTGTAGAAAAAGGAGGCAGTTAAACTCTATTACTCCATCTTAAAATAATCTTTTATGTTTGCCCACATGTACAGCATTAACAGCAATGCAACAGAGGCAAAAAATAGGCTTTTTGTTGTTTTGGTTTTCACATGTGACTGAGGATGGAGTTAGACAAAGTGTAATCTTGCTATATACGATTCAGCTGTGTATCTCTAAGAGTTCATTGACTATCTTCTAGTCACCTTCCCAACTCGCCATCAACACCCCAATTTCCTGGCTGGATTAATCTTTACCCACATAGTCAAACTATAAATTCAAGCTACAGTGTTGACAGTGGGAATCATTCAGAATACATTAAAAGGGAGTAAACAAACTAGGCTATCACCACAAGCAGCAGCACTTGAGTAGGGACAGACCACAGCTTTCTAAACACATGCTGCTCAGAAGTCCTCCTGGCATCTCACGTCAGCCGTGCAAGTCCGCTGGACACAGGGAAGCCAGAGGAAGCAAGGTACCCAGGCTGAACTTACTGCTTTACTTTGGCACCCTGTTCAACACCCAAACCAGTTTCTCCCTGCAAAGCAGCAGCAGGACACTGGGAAACCATTGCCATGTTCTCCCTGCCAATTACTTCTGGATATCTGCCTCCCATCAGGTCTCTTGGAGGTGCAGTGGCTGATGGCTCCTGACTCTCTGAATGCTTGTACCCAGCTTGCAAGATGAGAAGGACTGGCCATCCCTGCCCAGACATCTACAACACACAGTACGCTCCAGAGGCACAGGTACATGTGTACAGACACCCACTCAAACGTGACAGGAAGAGTTTATATAGCACGCTCCAAGATAAAATACTTAAGGGGAAAAAAAAAAAAAAAAAAAAAAGCTGCACAGTGCTGTCCTCTGGGTTATTCTGAACAATTTTATGAATCTTTGTTGCAGTCTCCACATGTGCAGGACACAAAAATAATCTAAAAACTTTAATACTTGCCCATGTACACTGAGTCTGGTCTTTGTCCCTTGCCAAAAGGGAAATCAGCTGCTGTTTAAGCAAGTCTAGATTATAATTTGCTATCTGAGGTATTACCACATATTTCCCCATAACCTTCCTGCAAACTTAAAGCTATATATGAGATACAAGGACTACATAGCAACAGTGATGCATATTATTCATACTAAACATTTTTAAAAGGAGAAACACTAATGCAGTATCTCCTCAAAGGAATTAAGCAAAGATGAAAGCTACAAGGAAGAATTGGAACTCAAAGTTCCCCAACCACCTACAGAAATGGCTGCAACCTGGAACAGAAGCATCATTCACTTCACCTCACTCCACAACAAGATTACTACTAAGGCGCACATGCCAGTCTGGATAAAATAGGCCTCTTCCACCTGCAAAGCTCACAAACAGTCCTTTTTGATACAAACAACTAGTTCAGAGGTACTAACACTGACTCACCACCTTTGTTAACCATCCAAACCAGCACTACCAATCTCTATTTTCTTGACACCATGACAAAAGGGGAAAACCCCCAACTATTTCTGCAGAACACAAGTATCAAAGTCCTATTCTCTGTTCATTTGAATAACTGACTTTGTCATTCTAACACCACATGCGCTGCTCTCTTCTCCTTTCTGTTTTGCCTATGCACTGTATGCTGGCTACACAGTGAACTTGCCGTATTAATGCTTCAAGTTTTAGATTTTTAAGGAAAGAAAATAAAAAAGCAAGACTGCATATAATGTCCAAATCTTTGGAGTTTTTTTCTGATTAAAAGCACCTTTTCTTTGAAAGAAGTGAATTATTTCAGCCCAAACCCCAAGTCACAAGCTACATACGCTGCACAGAATACATTTTATTTATTTAACTCTTAAGCAATCCATTTTTAGCTTAAAAAAAAAATTTTAGAACAACCTTCAGAACAGCAGCATCTTGTTCTTGGATGTTTGGGTGCCCCCTCTATATCTGTAATGAATGTAGCTTATTTGCTACAGACTCCATATGACCACCATTTAACTCTTCAACAATAGCTTTAACCACTTCTAGGTTACTGCACATGCAATCTGTCAAAGTTTCAACAGTTTAACAACTTTGTAGGAAGAAAACTTGCAATGCTCCTTTTTAGCTCTCTGGATAGGCCTAGCAGCACAGAAGAACAAGAGTACCCCTACATCTGGAAAACTGCCAGCAACCTACTTCTCACACCTGAATATAAAGGCAAGATGAGAAAAATCACAGAAATAAACAATAATAATGGATGCAGGCAAGCAGCATGTTTAGTCACGTTTAAGAAATAATAAAAATAGCCCACCTCCAAAATCTCAAATAACCCATGTGTAAAAATCAAACTTCCCGAGCTGCATTACTGCTGAACAAAGCAAAATAACCTGTATTTAACAACGAACAGTTCCAAAACTTAAGATATTACTTACAAAATTTTTAACATCTTGCTAATTTAACAGACAAGTTATGCCTCCTCTCCCCATTCCTAGATATGATAAATAACTCTCATCCATAAGATGAAGAATAGATTGGACTGATTTCTACTATAAGAGGTACACTTACTTTTCTAGCTCCTCCTGTGAATGTGCAAAGGTGCAGCTGGCCCCTCGGGGACATCCTCCTCTCTGCTTCATGTCTCGGCACATGTATGTCTTGTACTTGCTGTGCTGAGGAGGCTGACAAGGTTAGAGAAATCAGGTGAGATACATGAATATAAGATCACTTAACCAAGAGCAGAACATAGCCTCTTATTAAAGGCCTGATGTTTGTTGATAATTCCTTCAATTTAAACGTTCCAGAAATACCTAATGTGAAAGAAATCACTGGAGCAGTATTCATGTTTCATTCTTCAACATAACTAACAAATTCAAGAGTAGATATTTTGACAAGTAAGTTGCTACCAGGTTTTTAAAACATTTTTATCCAAATTCCTTACTGGAGCTTGACTGGAGAACAGCTGTATGGTTCAGGTTAAGTAGACAAAACTGGTACAGGCTGAAAAAAGTTACCATGCTTAATCAGAAATTGCCAAATTTTCATCCAGCTTTGTGGTAGAGGGAAAAGAAATACCATTTAGTCAGTTACCTTCTCCTTGCTTTCTGTTAGCTCAAAATGGCACTTAAGTATCCCTTTCATCTCTACAAGAGTTAAATTTCATCAAGTTGCTTTTACCCCCTCTGAACTAAAAAAATCTCTTAACTATTTATGATAATTATTTCTGTCAATAGTTGAGGATGCAATCTCATTCCTACACAGAGCAGCAGGGTATGGGTTGTCTTCTGTATTTTTACGTTTCCCAAGAAATAACTTACTGCAGTCTTGCTGCCGGCATAAATACCCATTTGCCAGTCTCTCTAAATACATTCTGACAGAAGGCCAGAGGTGGTCTCAAAGATGTTTAAGTTCCTACAGTTTTTATGGCAGAATTAAATCAGAAATACCCTCTTAGAGTTCCCACTGAGGGAAAGGTCTGTAAAAGTAAACTCTTGCTTTCTGAGAAACTCAGCCAAAAGATGTAAATCTGTAAGAAGCCATCTGCAAACTGATTTTTTTTTTTTGCCATCTACTGTAGTGAAAAAAAGATTTAGGCAGGGTGCACATAAACTGCACGGTCTTCTGCTAGCCACTGCTGCCAGCCAGCAAAACTCTGCCCAATACTCAGCACATGTCCCGTTTCCTACTTGGAAGGCTTTGGGTTTCCCTTCCAAGCAGCACAGCATGTACCAGGCCTAGGTGATGGTCTCAGAGTAAAAACTATCACTGTTTTTCCCACCCAGATTTTCACTTGTGTATCCCTCCTGCTTTTCCTTTTGCTAGTAACAGTGCTCATTAGGCGTTCCAGTGAATGCAAAAAGGTAAAACAGCAGAAGTAATTCACTCTAATTTTGCCTCTTTTCCTTCTTTTTTGGGCAGAGATAACCTTTCTACTAGTTCAGCTCCCCGAATCAGCTCTCCAAGAGGATTAGAGCCAATGCAAGGGAGGGAGTGGGAATGTGTGAGAGACAGCTCTGTCTTTCAGCAGCAGCTAGCATTTATATCAACTTAGCTATACAATGAAATGAGATCAAAGGAACATGTGATAACTGAGATAAGCTACTATATGTATCCTGTTTCTGATACAGAAAGTTTTGCTTCAGGAACTCGTATGGTACCTTTCCATGAAGTCTTCCCAAATCTTTAAACTTTACAGACCATTTTAAGCACGGGTAATAAGAATCATTTCATTAACACAGAGCCATCTGCCTGAAATGTGTCACATGAAAACAAACCCAAGAAAATTCTCAAAGATCACAGTGCTAGGCACCCCAGCTTCTTCCCCACCCTCTAGTCAGGAGGGTTGTTTATTCATTTCCCTAAGCGTGCAGCTGGATCAGACTGTTTCAGCCTAGTGAGCTGTGCAAATTATTGCAACAGGTATTGAGGGGGTGTGCAGGGTTTTGGGTTTTTTCATTTTTCATTTTTTGTTTTTTGATAAATAAGACATAGCAGTGATATTTTTAATCAGCTCCTCATCAAACCAAATCTCTCCAGATAACATTAGTAAACCTCTACTTTTGGACACAGCCAATTCAATTTAGGGGTAAGCATTTCCTAAATGATTTAGCTTTTACCTGTTGCTGATCTGCTCCTTTCTTGCTGTGATTCTGGATATAATCAACTAAGCCATGAACCACAGTCCTTACAGCAACTAGTCCATTTTCCAGTTGTTCCCATGTTGGAGGTGGAGCATCTATTGCATTGACAGCAAGCAGAATATAAGAAGAAAAAGCAAAGTCAGAAGGTTTTCCAAAACCAGGTACAAAGAAACCATCAGTATCACAAAGTTTCACTAGAGAACCCAAAAGATTTTATTGCAAACGTGTGTCATTAAATAAAAAGCGTTCAGAACCTTAATTCAGGGATATATACCACTTAAAGAATAAATCTACCTATAGACTCAAGATTGTACCACACAAAATACCAAATGAGCCAGCAAGACTATCATTAGCATGTCGAATTATTTCCTTTTACCAAAACTTTCATATCCCACAAGAACTCCAGACTAAATGCATTGTACAAACTGCACATAACGGAAAAACAAACAAAAGACTGAAAATTCCTCTTCCCACTCAGACCCCCTGTAGGTAAAACGATTCTGTACAAACACCGTCATCACTGGCCTAGACCACGCAGGCACAGTCACTGAACAGCAACAGAAATTGATGCTTCTCACATGGAAAAATGTCACAAGGCAAATCAGTGTATCAGACCTCCGTCTAACACACAGCAGTGTGAATAAATTGTACAGACCTAATTCTATAGGGACACTTGTTCTTTCCAGACAATTTACTTTTCTAATCGTTTAATCTGTTCCAGCAGATGACGCTCCCACCGCGTACCTAAATATCCTGCTGCAAAACACAGGGCTTCAAAGTGCTTCACTAAGCGCCCTTCAAAATCTTTAGCACAATGACATTCTATTCCACTAAAAAGGACTAAATTCTTCCAGAGGAACTTCAGCGTACCTATAGAACAGCAGGGGAGCAACTCAACAGCACACAAGAGAAACGTCAAGATCAGCCCCTGCTACTGCAACTGAGCGAGGCTATTAGTGACTCCACTTTCCATATCAGCCTTTGCAGTATTTCCAGTACACACACAGCTTTGCCCTTGACTTGTTACAGTATGAAAGATTTGGGAAGAAAGCACTACATCTCCTTTAGCTGCAAAGTACAACTGGTCTTCATTTGAAAGGTAAGTGGATTTGTTTAAACACACAGACACCAAGAACTACAGCTTTTCACCTCCTTAAGTCATAGTTTATGGCCTTCACACTATTTTGATATTAATATTGATTTTGCAAATACTAACAGGTATAAAATAAAGCTTCAGCCACAGCACTCTCCATTCCGTCCCTTCCCTTCTGCCTCAGGCAGTTTATCTTCAAAGTGCTGTTGACTTTTTCAACAATTTTCATCTTTCTCTCCTCTGTCAATGGCTTAGGTTTTATTTCCCAGTCACACTCTTTCCAACTAACTTCCCCTTCCCAGGCTTTCACACCTTTGCAGAACTACATATTAACAAGAAAAGTACTAAATTGCTCAGGATAACAAATCTTTCATGTCTAGACTGACTTTTTGCCCAGCTTCTGTCTATTCAATCTCTCAAAATTATACTTGGGAATGCAAAATTGTTTACATAAAAGATGCCTTATGATTTTAAGATGCCTCTAAGAGAGCCTTCTGAGTGCAGTGTCTCAGGTCAAAAACTAGAGACCTCAGGGTCAAAAACTAATACACAGAATCTCTAAAACAAACAAAAGGACATACAATTTTTAGATAAATTAATGGAAATCCTTAATCTGATGAGTGTTTTCTTGAAGACTTCCCTTAGTTTGTAAAGAAATTATTTGGGCTGGTACAGAACTGGAGAGAAAAATATATCCCAGAGTGACTGGCTAAGGCTCTGCATTAAGTACAGTCAATCTTCCTGTTGCTTTGCAAATCTGGTTTCACATAGAAGCCTGTGTACTAAAAAAGGGAAAAGGAGGAAACCAAGACTGCTGCCACTCCTCCCAGTTAGCATTGCCCAATATCAAGTATACCATGTAACCTCAGAGGATTATATGTATTCAACATCCTCATGCATGCTCACCCAGTGCTGCCAAACAAGGAAGCTTTCTTCAAAGAAGTGGGGAAATAATTCCTGCCAACCTTTTGAATCTATTTTAGCTTCAGAATAGTTCAGTTCCTCACACAAGATTACTGCTCTTTCCAGGCTGGTTATGAATACAACTCAAGAATCAAGTTTATGAGTTAGATGATGTTTCCTTCTACTTCATGAACAGCTTTCAATCCTTCAACAGGATTCATCCTCTTGCTAAACTATGAGTTAAAGGTTTTTTATAAAACACCTAGACTTACCTGGACTGGGATCAATATTTGCCAGGAGCTCTAGGTGAGGTCGAAGACGATTCAGGTTAGCTGGATCTCCAGTCCTCTGCAGAGCAATAGTTAATTCCTGGACACTCTGTGCAAATGAGGCTGGGGTCTGCAACTTAAAAAAATTATAATAATTAACTTTCTAAAGGCAAAGCAATCTTCATGGTTTCTGAAAGTTGCTCCACAAGCTCCCAAGAGCTGTCTTCCAAAACTGGAGTAAAATGTTTTTCTGCACAAGCCCATTTCAGTCAGCACCTTCTATTAAATTCCTTCTCTGGCATAAAGAACACACAGTTCTTCGACACTGCAGGTCAAAATACAGCTCTAAATAGACAAAACAAAGGCTGGTGGTATTTCTAGCAACGTAACCTATTTCTTTTCTATGCTGTGCTGCCACCCAGAAAAAAAAGATACAGACTATTAGAAACCACTTAAGTTAGATTTCTGAAGAGTCAAATATCTCCAGTCTCTGAACCAAGAGGTTTGTACCCTGCTTTAAAATGAGTACAGTAGACAATAAGGAGCAAGGTGGTTGAAGGGTGAAGATAGCTAGCAACATTCCATTTACTAACACCACACAATTTCAGTGTTCAAAATCATTTAAAATCTACCTAGATCCTTCAGGAGGTGTCTGGCAGGAACCGTGAAAAGGTGGGCAAAGGCATAAATACACAGCAGACTCACCTTGAAGCTAATCCTCCTGCACTGCAGCCAAAGCAATCGTTTCACAGTTTTTCTGACCATCCAAGAAGGTTCAGTTCTTCCCACCTAATTTAGTTACTTACATGGGAGTCCCATAATTTAAAAGCCCATTTATCCTATGTTCCCTCTAAACAAAAAGAGATCTGGGCATTTCCAGAGGTCAAGTAATTTTATTCAAGAAACATGATTCCACCTCACTTACTTCAGGTATAGATTAGGGGACTGATTTCCTTTCAAATTTATGCCCTAACTTCCTGCCTGGAAACATGAACCATTAACCCCTGTGACTACACTCAGAGTTATCAGCAGTTCAGAAAGGACACATCCCAGCTGTGTAGCTAATCTTTGGGGCTTCCTGCCTGCAGAAAGAGCTGCAGTAGAAAGAGACGGCAGAGGAGGCAAGATTCATTAGGTTACAAATATATATTCTAATCATTTAGGCCATAAAGGGTTTTGAAATAACAGGGGAAATTATTAATAGGTGAAGTACACATGGGCACAATATTTCAATGCTTGTAACGTGAATTTACATCTACTACAGTCACAAACAAGATAGACCGGGCTGATTTTAGGTGGCTTTACCTTGTCAATGATAGACTGCATGTGGGATTTGTGTGACTGGTCTCCGTATAGCAGTGAGGACCATTGATCTGGTGCAATGCGTAAACCTGCTTCCATAGCTATTTGAACTATCTGGGAATCATGTTCCCTTCTCAGAGCTTCGTAAGTCCGAAATTCCTCCTTCAGTTGCATCAGAGAAGAATCCTCATCTCGCTTTGTCACCTAGTGGGGAGAAGCGAGCCAAATACAATTAAGCAGCATAAACCAGAGATTATGTCAAGTCCAAGGCAAGCAAAATCTTCAGTCAGCAACGAAGTTCCCCTCCCAAACTAAACTGCACTATGATATTATGCAGTTAACATCTAGTTCCTACTAAAATAACACTATTCATAAAATGTAACCACTATGAAATGGGTACCAAACATAATTTATTCAGACTGACCCAGACACTGATGGAAGTGTCACACTTCCTAAACAACGTGACAGCATCCACACTTCTCCAATCAATGTACATTGTTTGTATTGCAGAATTTTGTTTGAGGGTACAATTAGCACCAATAAAGCATTTTTCTCCTCATTTAGCAAAAGTGAATGACATTTAAATTGGGCACCTAAGAATGGACCATTAAATACTGTAAAGTACAGTAAGCAGCTTAAGTTGTCTTTATAGAACTCGGATATCCGCGAGCCTCATATTTCTGTTTCTAACCACACCACTCATTCAACAGAACTGGGGATTTTCCAGCTTTAAGTCTCTCCTAAGGAGATAAATTATGATGGCTTACATACAGGTTTTGTTACTGTGCATCTTTTAAACCTGGACAGGGTCAAAACCTAGCTTTACAGCTTAAAGTTGCAATTTCAGCCTACGCTGCCATCATAGCTGTATGACAAAGAGTACTCCAAACACATGTGGGACTTAAGGAATTGTATTTTCTCTAACTACATATTTTTAGGCACATTTAGTGTTACAGGACAACAAAAATTGAAAGCAAAACCCAATAGTTTTCACAGCATTATGGAATCTCCAAGCAGAATCTTCTTCCTACCTTGAAGCATGAGGCTCTGTAAAGAAGCTGGACAACATGCCCAATGCTAGTTTTAGAAGCCTGAGGAAATCGCGGCTCCAGCCTCTGAACCACAAAGAGAACCAAGACCTTTCGTGACAAAGCAGATCCATCTTCCAGAGCCAGCAGAACTAGCTTTAAAGCCTCCTCTTGCATTGCTGGCGGGGTTGGGGAGAATATGTGGAAAAAAAAGAAACAAAGGATGATAGAACAAGGAAGATTTCTGTAGTTTGTTTTCCTATGATTAGCAGACCAGCTACAACATGCCCCCACATCCTACCCCCCCAACACACACATAAACCTACAGGCAGGAAAGGGAGCTGAGCAAGAAGGCAGGGAAAAGAGGGAAGGAACACTTCCAGATTTCCCAACTGTGGCTGGGGAAAATAGGAATTGTTAAAATAGAACAAATAATGATAATTTTAAAAAATTAAGTATCAGATGATAGGAAGACTTCTTTGTTCCTGTGTATGTGTCTCTCTTGCTTATGAATATAAGTTCTCAAAGTGTATTATCTACATACCACACCTATCCCAGCAGAAATAGCTGACAGGCTGAGGAAGGGCAAGGTTGGTTCCCATACAGGAAAAGAGCAAATAATGCCCACACAAATAAATTAGGTGCTGTAGCACCGCATATTTTGCTAGGTAACCAGCCTCTCTTCCCTGTAGTGATGCAGTTAGCATCCCAAAATTAATCTTCCTTCATTTGTTTCAGTGAGGAAAAGTGTCTATTTTAAGAAATTGGCTTCATATTTCAAGGCATTAATTTTTTGGTCCTCAATAAACAAAGTCAACATTTTCAGTAATTTGGCAAAATTTACTGTTTTAGTATTCTATGAAAAGGAATTTAGTTTCTAAGCACGTAACTTTTAAAAAATGCATACACCACCCCCCCCCCCCAACCTAACAAATCTCTCCCCACAACTGTTTTGTATGTTTATTACCCTAGAAAAGGAAAAGAAGCCATGTCCTGTCACTTCTAGTAACCTTATTTTTCTTAGAAGGGTCTTACTTCTTCAAATAATAGCAAGTGAGAAACTACCTCCCATTTTATCACAAGAACAAAAGAACACGCATTATTTCGAATTTTATGGAAGACTTGCAAAAGTACTAAAAATGCGAGAAAGTCCACGACGGCACGCCAGATTATATTATTAATTCTGAAGACCTACGGTTAAGAAATTAAGCCACTACCTAATAAAATAACTCAGGCAATTTGACACCCATTGATCAATCTTCCTCAATTCTGAATAGCTTCTAGTACAGAAGTACTGACGTTACCTACCTGGTCCAAGGAACTGGCACCCTCTGGCTCTCACTGCAGCCCAGAGGTTGGAAGAGAGCTGCTGAGGATTCTGATGCTGCAGAATGAGCTCTGTGACTGTTCTTTCACCAAGCGACCGCGCTGCACGCATGGCTCTGATCCGCCCTTCTTCCTCCACTAGCTGGCAATGAACTAATGTCACAAGTTTCCTTTGCATGGGACGACTTAGCACGCTCTGAGTAGTACTGTTAAGACCTACACCTTCAAAACAAAATGAAGTAGAAAAAAAGGAAATAAACTACCTCATATTTTCTCCTCTTATGCCAGCCTTCAACCACTGCATTGCAGAAATACAAACCTAGTTCTCCTGATGTCCACTTTGTTAAACAGAACATTAAACAAAAACATATCAGAAGTTCATTTTTGTCAGTTTGGTTTACTCAGCTTTAAAAGCAAACAGTTCCTGGCAGTCTGCTTTCCCACAGGTATAAGTCTTGTGACTGACTGACTTGGCTCTCTAAGAAGGTGGAATCTCTAATGAATTCTCTCCCCACATTGGAAGTCTGTCCTGCACCCTCCCATACAGACTTCCCAGGTGTCTCCTCAAGGGCAGGCTCATACTGCAGTTCTTCCCTTATCCATGGTCTTCAGGGATCACTGCCTCCTTTGACATTTGCCTGTAAGACATTCAGTTTTTTTACCTGTATCTATTATCTCCACTGCTTTGGCCTAGCCAAACTGAACTTGCACGAGTTCAGAACTGTGATGTTTAATCACATGCAAAAACTGTGATTCACAGATGTGCTGGGAGTGACTGAAACCAGGTCAAAGGAACAAGTGACTTGCTAGACATACAGCTGCCATATACCCCGTTCCACAGCACTGAGCTTGTTCATCAAGCCACTACTACTCAGAGCAATACTGCTATCACACTGTACTAGTTGGACAAGCTTGAGACGGCTTTCTGTAAAATTTCAGTTTTGAAAATCTGATGCCCATGACGCTCACCTCTGCTGCTTGGATTAACAGATTTTCCAAGTACACCATATGCAATATAGATAAACTCCATACTCTTGAACCCAGTGCAGTTTTTCTAAATTAGAATTACTCAGATGGACTTAGTTCTTGTACAAGACCTTGCATAAACAGAGTACTAATTTCTCTTGTATATCCTGTATGCAGTAACTTTCTCATTTCAGTTTATGCCTCCTCTACAAACAAGCTGCATTACAACAGTTATCACAAAGCAAAGCAGAACTCGTGGCAGGGGAGATGGGGGGGGAGGGGGAAGGCAGAATTAACTATTTTTACTTAATATGCAGAGGTCAATTCAATTTACAAAGTTTGTCTGAACTTACTATACCTTGGTCAAACACCTTGGCCTTTTCTCAGTATTATTTTTGACATAATGCCTCCACTGACATCTCCCCCTCATCCCCCCCCCCGATGACATAACTTAATGCTTCGGAAATTTATTTCAATTTGTTTTTAAAACTAGGTTTATATTCAAACAGACTAACTAATCATTTGGATAGTTTGTTTTGCATCTTATTTGTTTCCAGCTTTCAGTTTCAAAGGAAACAATGCAGAAACTACCTCTTGCGCTGCTGAGTGGTTTGAGGTACAACGCTAATTCTTCCACACATTTCTTGCCTTCCTCATAATGCTTGGTATCTTCAGCTCCACTACATAAAGTAATTGGCTGCTGCTCAGGAACCTGAAAGGAGAGGACATGTATATCTATGATGAATATGCATAAATAAGTGGCCATCATGCTTACAAACACCACATCAAGCTTGTTAATATCAAGCATTTCCTGTTTTGTTCCCCTTCTGTGGTTTTTTTTTTTTACATTAGTAAGCATTTTTTCAGCTTAAGGAACAAATTGCATTTAAAAAAAAAAATTGGCAAAATGAAGACAAAAAAACTGTAAAGAATTTATGGTTACCAGACTACTTTTATTTAGTGGCTGATAGAAACTAAAAGCAGAAGACCTATTCTATAACAAATAAAGTATTACATGAGAAACATGGCATTTCTCGTAACTACAAAACTTTGGCTGAAATAACACACATATTGAGACATCTTCAAAGCTGGCTGGGCAAAAAAGCTCCACCCACAAAATTAGATGAACCCTGGTTTGCAGGTGAAGTACAGATTCATATCTGGTGCCTCACAGCTCTAAAATAATCCAGGGATAAGTGATTGGAGCTTCTTGGATTAGTGGGAGTAAGATTTAGCAGCAAATATACCAGGACACCCTTGGAACATACTCTGACTAGACCCAGTTATCAAGCAGCAAGATCAAGTTATTCTACACAGTGCATATGAACGCAACCTGCAAGTATTAATTTGACAACACAGACAGCTACATTTTTGTTTGGTGTTGTTTTTTTTTTATTATTATTTGTTTTCTTTTCTTTTTCTTTTGGTTGTAGCATTTATTTCTTCATCCAGACATTCACCAGAAATCAGGATTTTTCAAAGCAATGTTGGACCACCCCTCCCCTCAAGTTATAATTTTGTCTTTCTCCTGTTAAATTCTTAAAGCTTTAAACAAATTTGGGGGTTCAGTGTAGCACTGTACTAACGTTTCTCAGCATCACTATTCAGCAATCAACTCAACATATGACAGTACAGAGAATTGGAATTTCTCACAAGACTAAACACAAGCACTTTTTGCATATGCTATTGAAGTGTAACCAGATCTCAGGCTTCAACTTCTATTTCCAAGTCAATCACTACCCCACTGGCAGTAAGGGCATGCTAATCCCACATAGCTGCTTACAGGGACCAACCCAGGCCCTCAATCTAAAAGCACAAGTCTTTAATGCTTGAGTTAAAGACAGCTACAAACCCGCTAACCTTCACGTGCAACCCAGCCATGCAGAGTAGCATGATGATGGCAGCAGCAAATAAAAGCAATGAGTGTATATATATATATTCACACATACATACATACATACTATATATATATATATGGTAGCCACCACCAAAGTGAACAGGAGCTTTCCAATGACTTCTAACAGAAACTAATCTGTTTCAATCATACAATCACAATTCTACAGGTTTAGATAATTATGCATGCTAAATTGGTAATCTGACATTGCAAAATAAAATGTTACTAGCTACATAACTCCTGCTTTTACAGCAGGTGACAAAAATCTCTGACTAACCTATCAGCTGCAATTAAGAAGGTGATACCACCCCAAAACTAACAAAATCCAAAATGGTCTGGATCAGACACTGCCCCTTTTACTCCTATTAAAGGGAAAAACAAAAACAAATTTAATCACACCAAGACAACAAGGTTACCCTGGACGCTTTTCACAGACTGCAGATACCTTGTGAAGTTTTGGAGGTTTTTTGGTTGTGTTTGAATTTTAGGGATGGAGTGCTGTTTGGGGTGGTTTGCTTTTTGGGTGTTGTGGTTTGGGGGCTTTTTTGTGTGTCTGTAAGCAAGAAAGCTTTCAGCAAAAGGAGATTTTGCAACCATATCTTACAGTGGTCAGCCATAACTATTGCAACATCAACAGCCTCAACCGGGCTGTTTCTTTGGATTTGGGAAACAAATATTAACACCTTCAATATTTGCTTTCATGTTAACAGAACACTCCAGCTCCTTTTCAAAGCCACTGCCATTTTAGCAGTCTGCTTCTGTCTGGGAAGTTATACAAGCAGAACTGGCTAATTGATCAAACAACGCGCGTCTCATGCATTTGTGCAGAGACAGAGACAACACAGTCTCTGCCCTATTTACTGCTGTAATATATTTTGTGTAAATTCCTATTTACTCCTGCAAGCATTCAGTCTGGAACTGGCAACAACCCGAAATACAACTACAGCATCGCAACTCCCAGCAGACAAAGAGGGCCTGGAACAGACCTGGGACAGGAAGCTGGGTTCAGCCCTGGATTTCGATCTTGAATTAAGGTAGGTTTAGCACACATTCACAGCAGCGGTTTGGAATGCCATACACAGCACAACTCCACCAGCGAGACACAAGGACTGTCTAGGCAACTAACAGAAAGCTTCCCCCTCCCCCAGGAAAAAGCTGGCATAGAAAAACTTCCAAGAGTTAATCAAGCTATTCAACACTGTGTATCTGCATATCATTCCTGTTTCTTCTTTTTGCAAGGGAAGCTTCAGTGTAGAAATCTAAAAGTCTTGCACAACTGTACTGCTTGCAAAATGAGCCCCAAAGATGATTAGAGTTTAACTTTCATCTTAAACTGGAGCAAGTGTAGCACTGAACAGTAAACCAATATGCTTATCTTGTGGTTTCAGGAGTCTTCAGGAGAAGAGACTGTATTTCTTCATACACACACTTTATCTTCACTCATGTGATGCATCTCACAGTAAAACTTACAAATAATTTGCCCTTTTTCTGATTCCATTATATGCACTTCCAAGACTTTCCCCCCCCCCCCCCCCCATATTTTAGGGTTAGAATTATTCTAAACACAGCATCTACCAACAGAAAAATGGTAATGACATGATTCATAAGAGTGACAGGAGATCTGAATTTTAATTTTGGCTCTGTCACAGAAGTGCTGAGGGACAACTGAGAAATAATTAATCTCCAAAGTATTTTCACTTCCCCTTTGCAAAGTACCTTTCAAGAGCATAGAGGACCCTGTGGTCACTTCTGTTTACAACGCTTTTTGAGAGCCTCAAAAGAGATGCCCTGCAGAGTGAGTTCATAATTTTCAGTCCTCATTCAATATTCCATTCTCCCAGACACCACACCCTTATCACAGCTTTCACTGCAAATATATTTACATAATATAATAAACACCTCCCATGGGGGACTCCAACAAGACAGGAAAAATAATCTCAGATGTTTAATTACTTTCAATCTGTGATCATTTTGCATGCATCTGCCTTGGCAATGACTGCAAGTGTCCCAGCAGTGGAATGCTGCCCGTCAGCATGACTACTGGTGGCTGCGGGAAGAGGCAGGTTATGACGGCATGAGGAAGGGGACCGGAAAAGAATGCTAAAGCATCACCTCATACCAGGCAGTGATTTTGAATTAAGCATAATTTGATGAAGGATGTCAGCTTGAGTTGTCACTAATTACCATTAGACATCTAATTGCACAGAATGAGAACATGTTAAACAGACCAAACCCCATTTTGTCTGGTTTGAAAACCGTTTCCCCCAATTTCCCCCTCCCCACCCCTGCAAACGAAACGGATGATTTGCTTCCTGCCAAAAAAAGCCCCAAAACACAAACAAAACTCAAAGCCTACTGTCTTCAGTTCCTCAAGAGTTTGTACTAAGGACAACTTCTTCACAGATAATTCCTCTTCTGTGGCACCTCATCTCACCAAAAGTTACAATAAAAAAAAAAAAAAAGCTATCAAATGTGTCGGTAACATCACTGCAATTGTAATCTTCCCCTTTTAAAAGGGCTGCAAGTTAAGATCACTCCACCCATTCTCTCGTCACATACATTATTCCATTGCCTAATGCCTACAATTGTATTTATTGTGTCCAGCAGGAGACTACGAAAGAAATTAAAGTACCACAGGAATTTCTGCCACTTAATGTCACCTGTTTGGAACGTGCACAGTGCTGTTTCATTTGTTAAAAAAACAGGAGGGAAGAGCTTAGATGACAGATCAGTGATTATGCACCTTCAAAACACTGGCCTGGTGAATGTTTAAAATAGTTGCATATAGTGAGCAAACGTGTATGTTCAAATAGTTAAAATTCAAAACCTCATTCCCACAGAAACTGACTTAAAGGATTTCTTTACCCAAGAAGTTTAAAAAGCAAAAGTATCCCACAAATGCCTTTTTGATTTGTGTTCAAGGCCATTGTGCCTCCCTTCTCACAATACGCTTAGCTCCTGCTTAGGCGCTCAGCTATTTCCAGCTCCCCCAGGAATAATAATTCTCATCTTCCCTTTACAATCCCTCCTCCCCTCAGTCATCGTCTTACACAGCTGATCTTAAATGTGGGCTGATCTGCCCAACCACCACCTTCCAGAATAGGCCCTCTAACTACTGCTGATGTGTACCATGCTGCACTGGAAGAGCAAAAATTTGAGTCTCTGCAACAGTTAATTTTCACATCAAGGGTGGCTATAACCTGGGCAACAGGTTTCATTTTTGGAAAGGGGTGTGGAGAGAGAAAACTGAGAAACAGCCTGTAATTCAAGTAAGAAACCAACTCTTTTCACCATAAAGTGAGAAAACCTACACAGAGAGAGAATGCTATTGTCAGAAAAATAGGTTACTGCTCTCCCGGGTGACTGTGTGATAAATTTAGTACATTTTCCCCAGAAGTACAGTCCTGCTTATTTCACCCGTTGTGCCTGTGTGAAAGCCAACCAACATGACTTGCCCTGGAATCTTATCATAGCTGCCAGTCACAGCAGAATAGATTTGTTTCTTCAAACTGCCTGGTCTCCTCCTCTGCCTCCAGCAGAAAAGTGCTTCACACTTATATATGTGTGAACTCCTCTGAAGCCTCCCCAAAGGGAAAAGAACAGTTTGTTCTTCCCCCCCACAGATAAAAGCTTTAATTGTGTTGTACTGTATTTCCTTTTGAAATGAAACCTGTTTTTTGGAATGTATCATTTAAAAATAAAGTATTACACATATCCATGGACTCAGGTTAAGGTGTACAGGGGTTTGTTTGAGATTAGGGGATGTTAAGGACACACCCCCCCTCCTGTCACTAAACCAAGAAGTGGGAAAAAAACAAAACAAAACAAAACCAAACAAAAAAAACCAACACCAAACAAAAACAAAACAACAACAACAAACAACAAAACAAAACAACAAAAACACACCCCCCCAAAAAAAACACACACACAAAAAAAAACAACCAACCACAAAAACACCTCAAAAAACCAAACGGGCTTTTTTCACTGAAGTTGATGATATTAGTCATGCTTCATAAACTGGCTTGCTGCTTGCAAATCGTTTTTGTTGATCTGTACCAAAGAGAGCCCACCTTCTGAACAGGACAGAGTTCAAAATTACAGTAGTTTCTCTAAATTACTTCTCCTCCCTCCCCCCTTTTTTTTTTGTACTTAACCAAGCCTTTTTCTGTAAAAGGTTAAAAAAAAAAGGCCTTAGACTAGTGAAAAATAGCAACTGCTTGCCTGTCCTTCACAGCAAAGTAGTGTACTTATTTTCTAGTACTGCCTAGTCTGGTAAACACAACAACAGGTGCCAGGAAGGGAAAAGGGAGGAGAAAGGAGAGCAAGTTATATCGAACACTGATTTCATTCACATGCCCATTGAAATTAAGAGCTGGCAGGGGGGGAAGTGGTGCAAATTTCTCTTAAAGGGAGTAATAAATAAATCAGTAATAGAAGTCCAGCTAAAATCACAGATTACCCTTACCCTTTAGGTAACAGTGAGCAGCATACATGCAGGAATGAGTGGCAAATGAGGGGGAGAGACATACTGTCTCTTTTGGTGGCATTTGCAGTTTTAAGGCCACCATCAAAAAAGGTCCTGTGAATCTTGATCACATAAAAATTCAAGATATAAAAAGAAGCACAAAAAATATGTTATTAGTTCAAAATCAGAACCTAGAGTTCAGAGCACTCTCAAGACAAATACAGTACTCTGTATCATAAAGCCACTCTTCCTTCTTCATACCTCACACACATATGGATGAGGAAACTCTGGTTGGCTAACTAGCAAAACCAGAATAAAATTCTCAATTATCTGTTGCAGAAGCAGGGTGATTTTCCATCTCATTCCAGATGATCTTGTTTTTATGGAAATTTTAATTCAGACAAAGATCAAATTAAAGCTATTGCATAGCTTCTTACAAAGCTTAACAAATGCACATGAAACCACCAAAAAAATGCAAGAGGAAAAATATGTTTATCATAAGTGTGGACATTTGGATACAGTTGGAACTATTCCAGAAACTCCAGAGAAGAAGGACAAAGTTATAAGGGAGAAAAAGAATTACAATATTTATTTATGGCATCACCCACAGATTTCACACTGCTTGGAAGCTCTTCAAAGATGGTGGCATACGCATATCACAGAAATGGAGGCACACAGCCTCATGGCCCTCTCTTGCAGAGCAGGATGAGTCACTTAGGAACAACTCAATATTTAACTTCTGGTATAACTTCTATGCCATATACTGCAGAAGAACAGCAAATTAACTGTATTACTTGAGAAACCAAACAAAAAAAAGAAGTGGTAAAAGCACATCTGGATCTCCAGGTCCCAGTACCTAATAAAAACCATAAGAGCATCTTTCTTTCTTCCACATCTTTTAAAGTTCCTCCAAAACATAGCTGTTCCCTTTTCCCTGAACTAAACAGCACATGGAGTTTTCTGCTGCCTCCAACTCTGCCGAGCCCAGACACAGAAGGAGAACTAAGGAAAACAATAACCCCTCTACGATAACTGCATTCCCATCTACATTTTTGTTCCTCACCCACATGTTAAACATGACTGTCCCTCCTCATCCCAAGTTCACAATCCTGTACAGCCTTGGGAGGTATGGGTCACAGGAAACCACTAGTGATTTAGCCATAATAAGATTATGCAATTTAAGCCTGTGCCACAACTGAACAGGGCAATCCTGCTTTCCACACATCCCTGCCCCTTTCCTCGGGCTGCTATCAGTACCAGTGCCGCTGGAGTATTCACCTTCATCAGATCACCGGTTCAGCTCACCTTGTGAGTACCTGTTCCAGCAGAAAGAGGAGTCTCAGGCAGGCTCCCCCTATTCACCTATATGGATTTATATCAACATGTCAGCTCAGGAAGTTATTGGTCCAGAGCAGTTTAAAATTAAACATAACAGCTGCTACCAGAGGGGTCTGTCCCACAGCCCTTACTCTCCCCTCCTGCTTTCCGAACAACCCGACACGCCTGTAGGGTGAACATGGCAAAACAAGTAACCTACAACAGAAGAATGTCTTCCCAGCAGATAAGCTCACTGATCCAGTTAAACCTTTTGGCAGAGCATGACTAGGTAACAAGTAAATGAAGAAGGAAGGGAACAGAACCAACCCGTTCTAGTGACAGCCCACAGTTACACTAAATTAGACATCAAAATCACAGTCAGCAACTGGTATTATCATGATTTGAACTGTTGGTCCAGGCACCTCTACTACAGCATGTCAAAGGTTGAAAAACCTGTATTTGTCAGTCAGTATACAAAACGGTAGATGTTGTCTCTATACACCACTAACACCCAGTCATATCCTTTATTGACAAGTTGTCCTCCTAAGAAGGAAAACAACACAGATTTAAAAAACAAACAAACAAACAAACAAACAAACAAACATAAAGCACAGATACCTGAGCACCCACTAGCTGCAGCAAGGCTGAGTTCACAGGAAGGAGTTCAATGTCTGTATTGATAGTGGTCTGGTCAAAAGGGCATGCCTTACGGTGGAGCTTGTTGAGGCACATCTTGCAGACAGTGTGGCCGCAACCCAAGCTGATGGGCTTCCGAATTGTTTCGTCGAAAGTCTGTGTGCAAATCGGGCAGGAGAGAAAATCCGTCCATTGTGGAGCTTGTACAGGCATTGCTTCAGGAGTTAATTGACGAGACAAAAATCTAAAGCACAGATTCCACTGGAATCAAAATCTTTGAAAAAAAAAAAAAGTCTGTTTGTTTTTAAATATCTTCTGTAAGTACAGTCAGCACATAGTGTGAAACATAACCTAAAAGAAAACAGAAACAGAAAGTTACTATTCTCTACTGGAACAGGCATGCAAAATCCTTTGTGCTAGTTAAATACCCCTATAGCTGAACTAGGAGTGCAGCTCTGACATTAAGCAGAGGACTGAGTCACGACTTGCTTTAATTTCAGCTAGTCTCTGGCACTGGAAAAAACACTTAAAACTGTTTCTGCTGTTTTGCAGCTCAAAAAAAAAAATAAAAATCAAGATAGTTATCTATCTCATTGAAGTTGTAAAACTAATTAGCTTTCAGGTTTTATGTTCTCTTTTTTTCTTTACAAATGAGCCAATTAACATCAACTAGATTTGAATTAAAAAAAAATACAATTTTTGAAGGGCTGTTGTGCTTATTCCACTAAAATACTTTTTTACAGCGTTCATCATGAGCTTTATATAATTTTGCTTAGACAAATTTGCTTCATCCTCCACCTCTATCATAAGCCAGTTTTCTTCCGAGTTCAGCGGGCTCTGGATTGGCACACATTGATTCCGAGGAAACATCTGAGCTGCCATAGCCTCAAGACAAAATGGATGAATGGCTCAGGGTACAATAAGACACCATCTGCATGCAATACAGTTCACACGGATCGCTAGGCAATACTAAGTACTGCTACTACAGCACCTTCACACAAGCTGATCTGTACAGAGCTACACAGGACCACATGGACTTATCTGGTCACATCTCAGTTACCCTGGGAATCTCCATGCATTACTAAGTATAATTCAGCATTGATAACTTGCCCTCAGTCTGCCCATCAAGCAGCTCAATGCTTCAAGAGCAGGAAGAAAATTTCTAGAAGTCATTTTGGACTGGAAGAGTGACAGCTGTTTCTCAAGGACCTTTTTCTAACCCTGATTCATATAATTCATTGCCAACCTAGAGATTATATTGACAGAGAAAGTAACATCCTTAATGGGTTTAGAAATTACACTGAAACACTACAATAGAGAACCTGGAAGGTCTTTATTACTTGGCTCTTCTGAATCAAAATGCTAGGTGGATCAAATGTTACTAATTATAAGGGAATAGAAGATAAGACATCCCCTTGGGACAAAATAAATAAAAGCAGACCTCCTCATGTGAGGAGGAATATAAAAGAATAGACAGATAAAGTGATATGAAAAGAATCATTATCAGAAGGAAAATCACTAATAAAAAAATTTCTGATGTCTGGCTTACGTTCTATTACCAGTGAAGTTAGCAAAAAAACAGTGCAGCTCACATAGATTTACTACCACAGATTTTTCTATATCAAGCAGCAAAACAACAAAAACACCCAAACCACCCCAACCATCCAGATGTGTTAAGTTTCTCTTTTCCGCACACCACTGGCTTAGCTTTCATACAAGGAACATGCACTTGCTTGTTAATATCTGTTCAGAAAGTTCTTACATAAGCAAAACAGCAACGTTTTATCAAATCTTAGCTTAAAAAACAACCTCAAAATTAAAATCTCAATTCTAAGTAAAGGCAGAGAGAGAAACTTCAAGTTAGGACTTGTGCAACTCAGAATCAAAGCATTTTAAAACAGCAACAAAAATCTAATGCTAAAACAGATATTCTGAAAGGCCTCAGGCTTTTGTTCCAGAATGTAGTGCAATGTTGTTCAGAGTTAACATCATTTTGCCAAGGCAAACAATGAAGGGTTACTAGTTAAGCTTTTAGCCATGTTTCATCAACTTAACATTAAAGCTTAGTTCTCAACCTAAAGAAAAAAAATTACTTCTATCTTCAAAAGACAACGTACATCGCCGCATAGCCACTGTTTACCAGCCAACAAGGAATCAATCAGAAATCAATATGACCCAGACAGGGTGGTACTGAGAAAGCAGCACTGAGTGTGGTTAACCTTAACACCACCATTGCATAACTAGAAGATCTGCCAAGGTTGTTCAGGGTTCCCCCCAAATCACCTCTTTAATAGCAAATCAATAACTTTTTTCATCTTCTCAGCAGACAGCCAAATCCCATTCCTATTACTACTGTATCATCATAACCCAAAAGAAAACATTTATACATCTAAATTACTTGACTGAGTTGACTTCCCAAAACAGCCAGGAAATTTATTTACAAGCCTTTCCACCCTCCCTGACCCCTTTATATATTTAAGTAAACCTTGGTATCAAGTATTCCAGCCAGAATAATTCTTTGTAAACCAAATCTACAATAGAAATTACCTCAAAATTCCACAAAAATTCTGCCGCGAAGAGCAGTACACAGCTTAATAAATCTAGTGTGTGTGTTGTTGTGCCATGAAACAGCATTTCAGGTTTAAAATTTAAGAGCTGAATCATAACGCTTCCTTTCTATCACAGTGGTATTAAAATATCTACCAACAATTCCCAGACTCATCTGCAATTCAGAAACAATCTGACCAGTCTATTCGAAACATAGACTATTAACCAAGCATTAAGGAAAAGAGCAGTTTCTTACTGAGGAAATCTAAAACCAGAAGCTAACGTTGAACCTATACCACCAACACTAGAAAGTAGATGTGTATATGGAGACTCCACCATTCCAAGCTCTGAACTGGAAAAAAGGAGTTGAACACAACTTAAACACAAGTTAAATAATTAAAAAAAAAAAAAAACAAACCAAAAAAAAAAAACACAAAACAAAAACACAAAACCAAACAAGAGACATGTTGTTCCTAGCTGTACCTCTGGCCACTCCAGACAACTGGCATAATGAAATGGGTCATATTTATTTACAGTCTCAACCGTTGAAAGAGAAGTTTGGGGAGTCTGGGGAGGGAGGGAATAATTAGTGGTATCCCTGATCCCTTATCAAGGCAGGTCCCAAAAGGCTGGAGAACAATGGAGGCAAAGCTTCCACACTAGCACAACTCTCAGAAGGGTCCTAATGAGCCCAAGCCTGGCACCCAACTGCCACCACAGAAGGGCACTCAGCTGAATGCAAAACACCACAGCCCTGACTGTGGATGTGCAATCAACCAGAGAGGCATGTTACACCAGGGGTGACAGTTACCCCTTACCCACGGTGGGCTTCTCTCCCACCCCTCATTTCCCCAGACTCAGCAGTGCCTGTGGATGTGTGTTGTTGCCTAAATGCCAGAGGAAGGCCATGGATAGCACTCACAAAAGAAAAATGGCTGGGAGAAACGTCAGGAAATCATCTATTTCAGCACAGTCTAACTGCTGGAACAGATGGCTAACTGGCTTGATCCAGCCAACCTTTTCCCCACAGGAGAAAAGAAGAGCTGTTTGAGCAACAAACCCTGCTCTGCTAGTGAATCTCCCGAGCAGATCAGCGGAATTCCTCTGGTCCTGAGTAAAATGGGAACGGCATCACAGGGACTGACGGATCACGAGCTACATGCATACAGGCTGGCACCAAACCAAGCAGGGACTGCTGCCACCACAGCTTTCCACCTATATGATCCAGTTTTCCTGCTGGATCTTCAATCTTCAGACAAGGAAGCAGAGTCAAGTGCTGAGATATAACATAAATCTCTCCCAGGCACAAAGCATACAGATGGGGTATACACATATGAAGTGAAGCCGGGAAAGACGTCTGCCTTTTTGAAAGGTTTCTGACTTGCTATGACCTTGTAAGTAACTGGAAGCAAAATATTCTCTAACTTCAAAGAGCTACTTTAAACAGGAGAGATTACAGTTGGCAACAAAACGATGGAAACAAGACAATTTAATTATCACAGACAGCTACTGGAACCATCACCACTACAGAAAGAGAACACTTCCTTGTACAGATAAGGTAGGAAAAGCACATCCACACTTTCATGGTACAAGTTTGTGTTTGGTTTTTTTTTTTTTTGGTTTTTTTTTTGGTTTTTTTTTTTTTAAATGTTTCTCCAGCATTATGCCAGAGGTGAGCAACATGCAAAGAATGCAAACATTTATAAAAGACATACCCATTAAAATAAAATTCCCCCTCCCCAGTAATACTATGACATGACAAAAAACTAAGACATGACATCTGCAGTACATAAACTGACAAGAAGATGCAACTAAGAATGAAGATGCCCCAAGACACAGACCCTACCATTGGGACCAGAGACAGATATATTTCATTATTTCTAAGTTTGAAAATATAAAATACCTGCATGCAAGTCTCCTCCTGCTGCTTAGCTCTGCATAAGCTGTTTTTATCCACAGCTAGAACCACCTGAAAAAATTTCTCCTCTCTTCTGGGCCCGCCCCCATCCCCCCAAAAAATCCTTGAAATTCCATCCTTCAACCCAGACTGGAAATGTCACGCTGTAATCAGATCAGTGACCTGTCTCCTCTGGGACCCTGCCAGTGCTTCAGAGAAAGACAGGATCCTTCTATAAACCACCGGGACAACTGCTCAGCACTTTATCACATTCTTTACTCTGCCAGACTACAGCTCAGAGGGGTAACAGTCTCCTGTCCAAGCTGCGTAATGTCTGCAATGGCCAGAGCCTTCCACATGTAGCTAGAAAGCTTTGCAGTTTCAACCCTTGAGAATAAGATGTTTTTGAAATGCAGAACACTTTGTACCAATATCCACTGGCATCAAGTTTCACACATGATGACATACAGGAAAACTCTTCAGCTTTCAGTTAAAATTCACCTCCCTTTAAATTAACCACACTCTCCGAGTCCTTCAGTACAGGTAGCAAGTATATACTGACTTCTCCCACAAATGTGTTATTTGGACCCAACATGTACCAGCACAGACATATCATGTGCCACTTCGTCATGCACAAGTTAGCCCTGATCTTTCCCAGCAGCAGTCCACAGTAAGTCATGTTACAGTTTAAGGCAGATGACTCAGCACACCTACGGGGCACCCTCTGCTCAGTTTCTGTCATTTCAGTACATACCATTACCTGCTCCTGTGTGTGTACAGATCTCTCTATAGCATTTCACTAAGCTTTTCTTACCCAAGCAATATCATCGTCTCCTTGACACTTGAAGATCAAAACTCTGAATAATAGTAATTTGTATTGTCTGCTTTTTAGTCCTGAAGCTGTTTA